TAATTGCGAAGGATTTTAAACAGATCATTAAAGCAGTAAAGATTTGATAAGCCCCTATCAAAGGACAAAAATTGACATTTAAAAGGCTGAAGAATACATTTCATTACATTATTCCACAACTCAGATCATCCCCTAATTCAGACAACTCCCTCTTATAGAGATTATATTCCAAATTAATGAAGTTTTATTATAAATAATGCAGAAGACCACCATGAAGGGTAAATGTCACTAGATAAATCAGTACTTGGAAAACCTGAACATTTTCTAAAACTCACGACCAGTCACCCTGCTAAGGATGGGTACAATACTTCTACCTGTACCCTCTTGGGTATAATATTACTATTACTACTGCTAGCCTGGAACAGAAAAAAGGGATGTTCTTCCTTTGTCTTGGCCGCCACTCCAGAGGGAAGCAAGGAAAACAACACTTACTAAGCATGTGTTGGATGCAAGCCTGAGGGACAGGTGCCTTCACTCATGAGTTCAATCCCCAGCCAGGGAGCTAACTCACATGGTGCAGCAGACCTCTCCTGTCTCGCCCACTGCTCCCCTCTGCAGTGTATTTTAGTAGATCTGCCTGTTCTGCTCCCCACTCTGTCTCTGGTGAATCCTCTCACCCCCAACAACTTATATGCATAAATAAATAAAACCTTTATTAAAAAAAAAAACAAAGTATGATCACTACAGAGATAATTTATTAATTGCAAAAGGGAAAATATACCCTTTATATTGGAAAGAGGACTACAGATCGAGTTCCTGCTGCCCATCCCGCCCCGCCCCAAGTAATAAACCTTATTATCACTAACAGTGGGATTGCTTGAAGTCAGGACCTCCAGATGTGAAGTAACGCACACACAGCACCGCTTACGGAATGTGCTTGTTGTAACAACGGTTATCTGAATCTAATGGCTCCTCCAGACCAAACTTAGGAAACACCTGGCTCAGTGAAACAGCTCAAATGTCACAACAAGGAAACACCCAGACAGCTGCAGAATATGGGACGTTTCTGAATCTAGGTGGAGGCAGACAGGTATCTGTTCATTGTATTCTTTTTCATTTTTTCTGATAGTTTGGGGAGAGGTGAGCCCGGGAGAGGCTGACCCAACAGGAGTTTGTACAGAATGCACAGGGAGCCCAGGTCACCAAGAGAGAAAACACCAGGGACTCTCATTTAAGATTTCAAAGCTGGGTGCCTCCCTGGTGGCTCAAGGGGTTAAGCACAGCACTGTGAAGCTATCCGCAGCTTTTGCAGCATGTGTTAGATCCCCAGACGGCCAGGGAGCTACCCAAATGGCGCAGAAGACCTCTCCTGACTCGCCTGCTGCTCTCCTCAGCAGTGTACTTCGGTCAATCTGCCTTTTCTGTTCCCTACTCTGTCTCTGGTGAATCCTCTCACCACCAACGCACCCCCACTCCTCCACACACACACACACCCCCGGCCCCACATCTCTGGCCTGTACCCCAGCTCTTATATGCATGAATGAATAAATCTTAAAAAAAAAAAAAAGATTTCAAAGCCGGGTGAACTGGTTTGTGCTGTTACTTTGAGCCACAGGAAAAAAGTTATCATTTCTCAAAGCCAGCAGCGTTTTTGTAAAACCATGACACCTTCCCCTAAATGACTGATCCTCATTTCTGTTAACAAGAAAACTGGCAAATTTACCCTAGCTCTCAAAATGCTCGTTTTATCAGAAACCAATTCTATTTACAGCCAGAACTCTGAGTCTTTGAGGTGAAGGAGAGTTGCTTTGCATTACAGTTTCTGAGAGTAAATATCCCAGTGCCAACACTCAACTGGCCAATACTTACCATTGGCTACTGCCCTGCACTGGAACAGTGTACTGGGCTCCAGGACAGCTCAGCTCTGTTCAGCTGTGATTCTAATCTGAATGACCTATCTAGTCAGAGACTACAGAGAAGCCACCAGAAGAAGAGGAATTACTCAGCAGGCTGATCATAACAAAGCCCCTTATTTAAAGCATTTCTTTCTAGGGCCTCCATGGTGGTGCAGGGGTTAAAGTCTTAAGAGCTATCTAGCTATCACCAGCCACTGTGGCATGAGATAGATCCCTGGCCAGAGAGCTCACCCACATGGCATAGCAGACCTCTCCTGTCTCACCTGCTGCTCCCCTCAGCAGTGTATTTCAGTCAATCCACCTGTTCTGCTCTCCACTTTGTCTCTGGTGAATCCTCTCAGCCCCTGCACCTCTGGCTTACACCCCAGTTCTTATATACATAAATTAAAAAAAAAAAAAAAGCATTTCTTTCTACCCAGACATACTATGCCTTTCAATGAAATCCCAGAAAACCCAGAGTGGGTTTTATATGTGTGAAAAATTGGATACCTATTTATCACTTGGCACAGAAACTCTCAACTGCCTGCACTTAGATGTCTGAGAACCCCCACAAAGAGAGGTGAGGCAAGCTCCAGGAGGAGAAATCCTTATGAAAATCAAATTTCTCCCCTGAAACATTAATAAAGGAAAAGTCTTCCTTCAGGACAAAACCCTCCAGATAAAAAACACAGCAACTTATGAATGTAGAAAAAAGTGATTTTTTTTCTGGGTAGAAAAGGAAACCCGGGCCTCCCCGGTGGCGCAGGGGTTGAGCACTGGGTTGCGAAGCTGCCCGCAGCCTCTGCAGCGCCGGTTCAATCCCCGGCTGCTCCCCGGACACCAGAGGAGGGTCCCACATGGCGCGCAGACCTCTCCTGCCGCCCGCTGCTCCCCTCAGCAGTATGCTTTGGTCCTTCTGCCTGCTCTGCTCCCCGCTCTGGCTCTGGTGAACTCTCTCACCCTCCCGCGCTTCTGACTGTACCCAGTGCTTGTATAAATAAATAAATAAATCTTTAAAAAAAAAAAAAAAAAGAAAAGGAAACCTAAAGACAGTGGTCTGAGGAGTCACTATAATTAGGGATGTGAAGTGATGAAAAATACCTCACAGCTTGGCTGGCAGAAAAGTGGGTCCATTCTATAGAACAGAGCTGGTGCAACAGGAAAATTGGGAATTGTTGGAGAAGAGAGGACCCATTTCTACTAGTTTTATCCATGTCAAGTCATCCACTGAAAAAGAAAATCCTTTTTACCTCAGTCTCCACATACAGAAAGTACCAACCACTGAGGTATTTGCAAATGTTCTCACCCTGCAGATTAAGTAAAGGCCTAAGTATGTCCCTGAAGACTGGCAGGGTGAGCACCATCACTCTCAACACATTCAACTTGGCACACCTCTCAACTTCAAGCAACTCTGTCTGCCCTGTGATAATCACATTTGTCCCTCTGAATCACAAGTGTCAATCAAACCCAAGGGTTTATGTCAGGTTATTAGTATCAGTCAAACCCACTAAAATATCCTGAGCTAGGCTAAGAAATCTTTACTTAGGGAACAAAATAAAAACTAAGCCTGTAGTTTCTTTAGAGAAAAGGGAAGGTCAGCTAGGAAGCGGGAAATGGAAGGGGAGCAGAGACTTGGCACGATGTTGTGAAGGAACATACATACAATTCATGCACCCAAGTCAGCAACTGATTTTGGCAAAGTCATCACAAATTATTACCGTGAGAACAAGTGGGTATTTGTTCAGCAGGGAAAATGGAAAAGCAAGTAGAGACTAACAAGAGAAGAAAAAGTGGCAAACATCAAGACAGGCACCTGCTGTGAGACTTGTCATGGCCAGGCAACCAGAAGAAAGTGGTGTCAAAGAACAGCCTATTCACAGTTACCTAAAACCTGGAAGAATCCACCCAAATAAGGCTTGGGTTATAAACAAGTAAAATTGCAACTCTAGCACCTGGACGCTGCAAGATGCATTCACACAGAGATGAGTGACACATCCCTGGAGCAGAGGGGCAGTTTCTGCAGGAGCTTTTCTCTCTGCCAGGTGAACACAATAGCAAGTTTTAAGAACAAGTCATTTTGTAATTGATGCTTCTGGACAGATAGTTATATCCTCCCTTCCCCCATATCACACCTCGCCTACAAACCATGCAAGTTTTCTGTTACTTTAATAAAAGGAAAGATGTGTAGTAAGAAAACAACCCAATTCCCCTCTCCCTACCGCTACTCACACTCAGCACATATGACAACAGGGTGGAACTTCTAATTTTCCAGAAGAGTCATTTGGGTGTTTCTTCTCTGTTACAAAACTCTCAAGGAAAGTCCCCTGTGACTTAGCACAGGGATTCAGAGACTTCCCCCAGACCTTCTAAGTTTCCTTCTTCATTAAACCACTAGGTTTCTCCCAGTCTCATGGAAAGGAAGGAAACTTTAAATATAAATAATAAATGTGGACTAGGAAAAGGAACAGCTAGAGGAGGCTTGGTACACAAGCTAGTAAAGAAAACGTGGGACAGAGATGTAACAGGTGGAATATTCAGGAAGAAAAGAGATGAAAGAAAATGGGAGGGGTGAGGGGAGCCGATCTGGGTGGGTCCTTCTCTGACCGAAAAAGAAAATAACGCTGAGAAGAGAGGGGCTGTCGGGGAGAACAGCACTGGAAACCGAATGCATACACTAACCGTTCAGGTTAAGAAAGACAGCGGGGTTTAAATAGAACGGAATGTAGCAAATCTCTGAGTAAAGGTGCAGGAAAAAAGCTTAGCATCCGACAGAGGATATTACGATGCGGTCCAAGTCGCAAAGGGGAGGGTAAGAAGCAGCTCGAACAACGGGCAGAAAGGAGTACCCAACTGTAAAGCAGCGTAACCTTAATTTGCGATGACAGGTGGTAGAGGGCGAGGTTTGGGAGCGTGTCTGAGAAAACAGAGGCGCACCGGCAGGTAGGAGAGGGGCAGGGGCGACGACGTGCTGGAAGCTGCAGAGATAAGGAGTGGGCTCAGGACCCCGGGTCGGGGGCCAGGGCTCCCCCTATTCTGGAAATGCCCAGTAGGGGCTCCTGGGAAGAAGGCGCCTCCGCCCAGGGGCCCGGGTCCCAGGCCTCAACTCCTCCGCAGAGGCGCCCCGGGGGCGCGGGGCCTCGGGAGGGGCGGGGGTCCCGCACTCACGCATCAACGTGCTGAAGGCCACGACGCCGAGCAGCCCCTGCAGGAAGATGCCGAAACTGTGCATGAGCGCGCCGCTCTCGCAGCGGCCCGCCCCGGGCGCCACGGTGGAGGGCGGCCCGCCCGGCAGTCCGCGGCTCGCGTTCCCGGCGGGGCCCTGCATGGCGGGCCTGGCGGGGGGGGCGCGGGCCGCCGCGGCCCGCCCGGCCTCGCTGCCTTCTGGGGCCGCGCCGCCGAGCCCCGCGCTGGAGCCCGAGCCCGAGCCCGGAGCCGGTACCTCCGCCCGGCGGCCGACTCCGCGCCGCGCGTAACCCGACGTCTGAGATCGCAACGCCTGATTGGCCCCGCCCGGCGTGGGGGCGGGCCTCGCGCGCTCCGGTTCTTGCCTCCCCGCAAGGGGCGGGGCTCCGTCCGGGCGAGGGGGCGGGGCCGGGATTCCGACCGCAGGTAGCACAGACCAGGTAGGTGAGCCTGTTGCGCAGACGCGAGAGCGAGCACCGCTTGTCCAAGCTGCTGGTATAGAGGGCAAGAGAATGGAAGGTCCTTGACTGTTTTTCTCGCCAAGATAAATTCCTGCATAATTTATTTCAAATACTCCTGGATTCCAACCTCAAATTCCAGTTCAGTAGTTCTGACACGGGGCCCAACAATATGCATTTTTAGCGAACAGTCTAGATTCTAAAGCAGGTGGTTGAAAAACAGTTTCTGTACACAAGGCATATTCCTACCCACCCAGACGTTCAGTCCTTCTACTTTCCTCATTAGTACCAATATCCTGTTCCAAAGACTTTGATTCATTAATCAGGCCCAAATGGACTTTTCTCCCCTAATCGTAATTTATTATTATTTTTAAAGATTTATTTTTATTATTTTTTAAAGATTTATTTATTTATTTATTTATTTATTTATTTATTTATTTATTTATTTATTTATTTATACAAGCACTGGGTACAGTCAGAAGCGCGGGAGGGTGAGAGAATTCACCAGAGCCGAGCGGGGAACAGAACAGGCAGACCGACGAAATACACTGCTGAGGGGAGCAGCGGTGTGGCAGGAGAGGTCTGCGCGCCATGTGGGACCCTCGCCGGTGGCCGGGGATCGAACCGGCGCTGCAGAGACTGCAGGCAGCTTCGCAGGCCAGCGCTCAACCGCTGTGCCACCAGGGGAGGCCCAAGATTTATTTATTTTTACACAAGAGCTGGGGGACAGGCAAGAGGCGCGGGAGGGTGAGAGGATTCACCAGAGACAGAGCGGGAAGCAGAACAGGCAGATGGACCGAAATACACTGCTGAGGGGAGCAGCAGGCAAGCCAGGAGAGGTCTGCCGCACCATGCAGTTAATCTCCCTGGCCAAGGAATCAAACCCGCGCTGTAGAGGCTGAGGACAGCTTCACAGCACTGGGCCACCAGGGAGGCCCCCACAATTGTAATTTAAATGGACGTTTCGACCCAATAGCCTTCTTTAGAATTTATACTGAAAACACATGAACATATCCCACTTTTGTTCATTTTGGACGTGATTGATAAAAGCCTAATTGTTGGTATTTGATAGTCTCCAACACCTCCCACCACACACACACATTTACTTCCACTTAACCCTTTCTGATTCCTCGAAACCTGCTCTTTGCCCCTATCAGGGCCTCTGGTCTCCATTCTCTCTTCTACCCTCCCAGTTGCCTCTGGCCTCTCTCCAGACACCTCCATAGTGCTCTAGATTCCCAGTCAGATTACATCCACTTAGTGCCAGTGTACATATGGTATCATTCCAGTAGACACTGGGCTATATTTGTTGAACAATAAATACCCTATCTAGGGAAATTTTCCCTTAGAAACTGCCACCAAGACATTCTTGTTAAAGGGTTAAGCGCTATCCTAAAGCTTTCCTGGTTAACAGGAATATTAATCTGATTGTCCAGAGGAAAAAAATGCTATTGCCTCTCTAAAGCCAATTCTCTGGCCCTTCTCTTAAAAAATATACACCTCTAGGCCTTTAAATGGCATTCTAGTTGTACGGAATCCTGTTCCCTTCTCCCTGCTCCATGAGTGCTTACTAATGTTTTAAAGCCCATCTGACCTTCCTTTCCCCACCTTGTTTTCACATTACTTTGTGTGTATTGCTCAACTGTAACTTTTCAGGCTAAATTATACAGCTGTACACAAGTCTCTCACAGCTGAGTGTGAACTTTCAGGGCAGGAACTGGTTTTTATTCACCCTTGAATCCAACATAGTGCCTAGCAAAGAGAACATGCAACAAAATGCTTTTTAAATTAAACTGAATTTTAATTTATAAAATTTAAAACTCTCCACAAGTATTGACCATGGGAAAATACACAAAATCAAGTCAAGAAAATAAACAGGTAAGGGAAAATTGTATTACTACCTTTAAGTCTAAGAAGGTCTTTTATGGGGATGCTCAACAGTTACAGTCCATGTTCAGAGAGAACCAAACAAGAGGCTATGTACTTAAAGCAGAAGAGATTAATGTTGGGTAGAAGGAAAACTATTAATTGCTTGAGAACACAAACAGCTTAGAGAAAATTGCACATAGAGCTTTCGTCAAAGCGCTGCTCTGCATATTCAGATGCAAAGAATCCTTAAGGCCCATTGCTGCTGCACCAAGGAAGGCAAATGTAGATCAACAAGAAGCAGTCTTCAGAGATCAGGGCAGAATCCCTAAGGCCAGTAGCAAGGTCACTGTGAGGAAATTCTGCTCTTCCTATAATACTTAAACTAGAATCAAAAATTACCTAAATCCAGAGGGATAATTCTGGAAAGGTTTATTAAGGTAGGAGAAACTTTCTCCATTCATAGATATGTCTGAGGCTCCACCGTAAAGAGTTTTGATGAATTTACTCTGGCTAAGATGCCTCCTTGCTGTCAAATGAAGTTGGACATAGTTTAAGACCGGTTTTAAATTTTCTTACAACCACTTAAAATTATAATATACCACAAGTTTATGTGCACTCTTATTTACCAATAAGCAAAAGCAAAAACTAAGCAAACTATCCATCCAAAATAGTTATTTTTTAATCCCTTGAAGTTGTACCAACAACTTGATAGGAGTTAATAGGTTTAATATTTTAATAGGTATTCTTGTGCATATTACTCCTTAATTATACTTTATCCTCAATGCATAATTTTTTCAACTAAGAGAAAAACAAGCAGGAAAGATACAATGCAATATGCATTTCATTTTGTTCCAAACAGCAGCTTTAAAATAAAAAAAGGGACAAAATATATTAAACAAAGTGCATCAGTCCCAATGAACTAGTATTAGAAAGAAGCCTAAGGACTTAAGGACAATGCTGGAACCAGCCAGAAGTCCTGCCCAGACAGGCCTCTTGATTGTCTTTAGAGAATATTCAACCAAAAAGAGGAAGGAAGAGGAAAAGAAACTAGCACTTTAAAAATCTCAAGGGAAACATTCTCTCCTAGAAATTTCCTGTAAAAAAGCACTAAGGAACTGCCCAGCTTTAACTCTTAGTAACTGCCCTGTTATCTGCTTTGTGACTTGACTTGCCCCAAAAGCTTAGCCATATTCTTTCAACACTGTCCACCTTCATTCTGCCAACTTAGACATACAGTTAGATTGAATAAACCATGTAGATATGCTTAGGATTGAGTTTCTACACATGCTGAGAACAGGCACTACCAACAGAATGGCATCATTTCGCTGGTATCCTTTGCTTCTAGAAGTAGTTGCAGACACTTGCCTCCCATGGCACGAGTCTGCACTTTACTGCTGGTGTTGAAGACATGTCCAGTTGTGGCTGTTTCCCTTTAAAAACAGTCCTTTCTGATAAGCCATGCACCAGGACACCCCCAAATAGTGTTAAATCAGAAAAAACATGGGGGAGGGAGTTTTAGGCCTGTCTCTCCATTCCACCAACTCCAGCTCCTGGTTTTGTTGGTTCTTGTGAAAATTAAGACTTCTGAAACATCAGAATCAAGAAAATCAATCTCCAGTACATTTACTGCCTACCTCATTTTATACCATCATCCCTAAAGCTGTCCTCAGACAAAAAGCTACCTGTGTGTCTGCAACAAGTATTGAGGAAAATAGCCCCCAAGTGAGCAGGTTTGGAACAGACCCATTTGGACTAGGATTTGAATGGAGAACACTTCTTTTAAAACTCCCAATTTGAATTTGGAAATTCAAATTTCCAAAGTATCACATTCACAGACAGTGGACGGAAGTCATCAAAATTCACTAGCAAAATGTTGTAAAGTAGTAATTATAATTGCATAAGTGCCTCTTTTTGGCTTTGCAGGAGAACCTGTCCTAGTTTCTGAGCCAATACATGACCATGATACATGGTTACTTATAATGAACCCAGAACCAAAGATACTTCAATTTTAAAGGTCCCCACTGAGATTTATACTTTATTCCTCTTAGTGATGATGTTTCCATCTTCATTCAATAAGGCTAACTGATACACACAATACTTTTGAACTCACGCACACAACACCCACCCCCCCAACCCGGTCCACAAGACCAGGTTCAAACCTAGTGTGTGTTTCCAATGTTTAATCTGAATGAACAACTCTTGAGTTTCTGTGGGAATCAATTAAACCAGTCTTTGATTGTATGTGCTAAGTAAATATAAATGCCTATGACAGTCTTCCCAATGTCCCCATCTAGATAAATCTTATGTAACAATAACAATTCCTTTATGTCCTCTAGAAATATTTTTTGGCTTCAGATAGGGGAATGGTTCTGAGCACTATCCTACCAAAAGCCTCCTAAAGCTTTTAATCTGTATTTAGGCACCACATTAGTGACTGAGCTGATGCAAGCAAGTAAAATATATTTAAGTCCTTAGGAAGCCATGGTCCAAAGTCCTCTCTCTTGTAGTGAGGATAATTTTACTTCCAGGAGAAGAGGCATATAAAGGCCAGGTTTTGAGCTAGTTTTCCATGTCTGCCTTTAACATAATTTAATAAATATTTACCAAGCCCATTTCTTCCAGGGGTTGATAAATACCCCTCCCTAATCTTGATTGCCTATTTGTCCATGCATCTATGTATCTATGTATCTATCTACCTGTAACAGAGATGCTCGGAGGCACCTATAAACAGAAAAGAAATGCAGATAGGGTAAAAAAAAGTCCCTGCATTCCCTGCATTAGCCACCTACTTCAACTCTGCTTCAAATGAGAAGGTAGTTTATGAGGGAAAAAACATTTTCTCAGAAGTCCATAATACACAGTCAAAATGTCAGCAAATCTTCACGTGCAGTAAAAGGGTTTCCCTAACACACTAACATCATAGTAATACGTTAATATTGATCAGCCAACTTCAAGGTTGAGGAGGATGATAAAGTCCATTCACTTGTTTCCAAGCTGTCAATTGAGGATCAAAAATGGATAACGGAAAATTTTCTGATCTCAAGCAGGCTGTATGGCCAGCTCAAGTGAAATCCAGGCAAATGCAGTCCTTTCACAATGTACCTCTCATAAATTTAAGAGGCTGGTATCTTTTTAAAAAACAGAGTTCACACACCTAAGCATGACACACAAACTTTTAACCCCAATCTGGTGGTAGATTTCAGTATGAAACTAGATTTCAGTATGAAAATGCAAGAAATATTAAGAGAAACCCTATTTACTTGTCTAAGTTAGAGTCAGCCTCTCTAAGAAAAAGCTGAGCTTGAATAGTCATGGTGCAGAAAGACAAGAAGGTTGGGCCCAGACTCTCTCTGGGACTGCTTAGGACCATGTGTTTCACCTTTCAGGGACTTTGCCCCTTTCACTGGTGAAGGACGGTGGTTCTAAATTCGGTGGTATCTGGAGAAGTCAAAAGAGAGACAATATAACATGATTCCTATATTTGGTAAATTTCCTTTTATAGGAAATAAATTTCATTTTCCTGAATAACATAACAATGTTAATTCCAGAAGTTTTTTGTTCCACTGATCATCTTCAATGAACCTTCTTTGCCTTAGCGTCTAGACTACTGAGCTCACAGAAATGTTATAAGATACAACCTTTTCAAAAGAGTATCTGCTAATTCACAAACATCTTATATATGCTTCTCTTTCATGGGCACAGAATAAATCAAATTTTAAAAATTTGGATCTCAAAGAAGTTAGTTCAAACATTAACTTTTACTTAAGTGAAGCTCCTTCCAGGTGTATCTGGTAGTAACCTAAGCAAAGAGTTGATGCTTTAATATATATTATTTGATTGGAGGGCTTAAAGTGGTTTATAAATTACCCAGTGAAGTCTACAGAATGTCTATAAAAGCAGGTGTGTGTGCTAGGGGTGGAAATGGTAAGGAAAGGAAAATCACAGTCAGTTTAAATAATATTATATTTATATAGTTGATTAGAATTTACTCAGTTTGTAGTTTTAAGACATTTTCAAATCTTGAAGAGGAATGATTTGGTTATAAATTTACAGGTGACTAAGATAATTTTAAAAGAACACACTCAGTAAAACTAACCATTTAATGAAAACTGTATCTTTCCTCATCTCATGGCTCGAATAGTACAGCTAATGCTATCATTCTACAACAGCTAGCAGCACAATCATAAGTGAAATCTGCCTAGAGTTTCACATCAACTTGAGTTGGGTCAAAGGAAATAACTAAAAGAAAACCAAGTTGTTGAGTGGGAAACCTCACACTTTAGAATATATTTAATTTAAAGGTTTAAAGGAAGAAAAGTGTAAACATGACTAGGCAAAGAGTTTTCCACAATCCTTAACCACCTCTCAATCTTTATCAATCACTGAAGATGCAGAAACTCCATGCTCTGCATCACCCTTCAAAACATTTTCTGTTGTGCTTCCTTACTATATGCTTGTAGATACAAGGGGGGGGGGCATAGGCTTTACTGTGGCTTAGTGATTTTTACCCAAATGACTCTAGAAATGAAAGAAAAACAACTGAGGAGAAAAATAAACACAAAATGAAAGACTCTAAGAACCAGCTGGGGATGGGGAAGAGTAATTAAAAAGAAATACCAACAATCTCTGAAATATTACTTGAAGCAGACAGCCTAAGCTAGGTCAAGATGGAAAATAATGACTGCAAAGTCCCTAGGCCAGGTAAGTTATGGGATAGTATAAGTGTTCACACAATGTTTTTTAAGACAGCAAACTTATTTTCCTCCACCTCTTATCATTGTCTTAGTGTTTGTGTTGCTTAAAAATGGAATCATACAAAAAACCTCATACATGGCTGTAAGCTCAATTATCAACAGAGGTAGTAAAACCAAGGAACTCCTAAGAATAGATTTTTAAAATGGATCAAAGTGTGACTGTACATTCAAAACCCTAGAGTCACAAAATCATCCCCCAAATGAACTGTTTTAATTTAAGAAAGCTTAAAAACACAATGACAAAGCAGCACTGATGTGCCTTAGGCACTGTCCCAAATCAGTGCTGACTTAAAGCTAGGTCCTCTCTTTCTAAGAAAGAGAAAGCACAGAACAAAGTTCAATCTACAATGGGAAGGAACAGAATAAAAAGAAAACCAAAAGGGTTCTTTCCAACAGCCTAGATTATTCCTTCTTTTCAGGCCACACCAAAGGAAATCCTTATTCTTCTTACGTAGAGTCCTTTCTTCACAACCTTTTTTTTTTTTTCTTTTTTTTTTTTTTTAATGGCAATCTGCTGAACAAGAGATGCCCGCATGTTCACTGGCAGGAGAGCCACTTCTGTGCAGATTTTGCTTCCTCAGTGTGGATCCTCCTTCCCTGAAAGTGCAAAGAGAGCAAGCCGACACCCATTGGGCCCAGAGCCCCAGGACTATTTCAGCTCCACTTGTAGAGCAGGTGAAGGATTTGCTGCATTTGTGCTTCAAAGACACAGCTCACTTTGGTTGTTCTCCTTAGTTGGCAAACTGCTCATAAAAAGCAAACTTGATCCTCTCTATGTGGTGGCAAAGTTTGATGGCAGGGCCCAATTTTAAGTCCATGCACTCTTGAACAGTGGGAAGGGTAAGGAGCAACAGGGCCTGCCCATCAATTTCCTGTTAAAGCATAAAATACAAATTATCTATGATGTACACATGAATGGCAACTCAGATCATGATAGCTCTGTTCACTTAGGCTTTATCAAAATCAGAGTCCTTGTGCTTTTCTTTCATTATGTTTTATCATCCATGTCCTTTAAAATGTGTCTCATAGACCTTCACACTAATGAATCTTCAGAATTAGTAATCAAGTTTTATGACGGATAAGAATTCATTCTAGTAAACCAACTAGACTTACAGTTGGCAAGAAAATGTGCCAAAAGAAATGTCTTTTTTAGAGGACTCTTTGAAAATCTGAAAGAAAATATAAATTGTAAACTCAATTTTTCCTACTCTGTAGGAATGTAATATTTATAAAACACTGATAAGTTCTTCAAATAGATTTTTAACTCACCAATTAACAAAACAAACTTATTTCATACTTATTTAAGGCCACAGAACTATTTCAGAAAACTTGCCTTAAAATTAATCATCCCTTTATAGCCAAACAAATTACATGTTATTTTTTTAAACAAACAAATCACTATTTTGGAAATTATTAAGCCTGGCATGCCTGATTTTAACCTTTTAAATATTTGGGGGATGGAAACAAATTCTAAGAAAAATAGGAATGCGCTGATGATCTGCTTTAGCTTTCAAGGAAGTCAGATATGTAAAACCATCTTTCTAATAAAAGGAAACTAAAGTAATTTTCTTTTGGATAGAAATACTTCTCCTAAGACTTGCTATTGCATCCAAAGTCCTTTGCTAAAGAGACATATTAACTAAAAAGTAAAGATCTCTGTGATTACCTGGTCTAAGAATATTCTTGCTAAAGGAGCACAATCAGTTGATCTGATGAACCGCACAACATCTGCCACACTCCACTTCAGGGGGTTACTGTCCAGATGAAGCCTTTCAGCAACTTCAATCCTTATTTCCTTCATTCCCCACAACAAAATCAAACCAAATGGTGTAAGAACTATTTTATTCTAAAAACATCCCTAGAAACATTAGGTACTCAGAAATGCTTGCCTTTTATAATAAGAATTATCAGTGGGGGGTGGAGGGAAGTGGAGATTTATTTGAACAATTCAACAGAAAAAAATAGTTTCTAAATCTCCCATTTGCTCCTTGGTGTATTTCAACACACTCTCTGGTAGGGAGTTAAGTGGGATGGTATTTCTTTCTTTTTTTTTTTTTTTTTATAAGTTCATTCCATATATTTTTTTTTAAATATTTATTTATTTATACAAGCACTGGGTACAGTCAGAAGCGCGGGAGGGTTAGAGAATTCACCAGAGCCAGAGCGGGGAGCAGAGCAGGCAGGAGGACTGATGTACACTGCTGAGGGGAGCAGTGGGCGGCAGGAGAGGTCTGCGCGCCATGTGGGACCCTCCTCCAGTGGCCGGGGAGCAGCCGGGGATCGAACAGGCGCCGCAGAGGCCATCGAACAGGCGCCGCAGAGGCCGTGGGCAGCTTCGCAACCCAGCGCTCAACCGCTGCGCCACCGGGGAGGCCCTGGGATGGTATTTCTAAAGAGACAGTTTAACTAAATTATCAGGAGAAATTAGTATTTCTGTTCATAGAATATATTTAAACAGCAATCCAGTTTTAAGACACTAACTTAATTATCATTCTTTTAGTATATGTGTGTTATATAACATTAGAAAAAATAGTTTAAGGAGAATCAAAAGGATAATTTCTACCAAACCATATTATGAAAAACACTTAGAAAAAGAATTTTTCCAAAACTCAGTAACAGGCTACAAATAAACTAGCAATGCAAACATTGCTAATACTTAAAACTATTAGCCACTCTGAGAGGCCTTCCTCCTTAAGAAGCACCTGATTTCCAAACAATCTTTGAGACACAAATATATCAGTGATTTTGTAATCATTTACAAAGACCCAGGAAATTCACCTATAGTCTATACTGAAATAAATGGAATGCTGAAATCATTAACAACTGGTTCTAGTGGGAAATTCTAACATGAGAAAAAAGGAAGACTGTGTTTTTTAAAATGGGTACCTTTGGTGAAGGAGGTTTATTTTCATCATCAGAAAATGAAAAAGTACGAAGCTCTCTTTTTCTCCTTTGTCTATCTGGAGGCAGCGATGTAGATATCTCACTTTGGGTGGGAGAGGAGGAGCATGACTTTTTTTCTGACATTTCTGACTCCTCCTGCAGCTCATCTTGCTGCTCAGATGTACTGCCCTCACTTAGGGAGTCGTCATCCCCTTCATCTGGGTCATCCTCCTCTTCACCCCCACTTCCCTAGAGGGAAAGGGAAACATTCATTGAAATTCGGGACAAACCAGTTCCTGGGTCACAAAACCATCTATTAGGTCAAGACATCTAAATTAGAAAGACCTGTGGCATTCTTTGTGTGTCTGTATGGGAAAGCAGTGATCTACTGGCTTCTAGATATTACAGATTACATCACAGATCAGATTACATCACAGATCTCTCTCCTTTAAATCATATAAAGATACCTGGGGAGATCCTGCTGGAGTATTATCAACAGATGCAGAAGAGCGTTTCTTCTTATGAACAAAAACATTTTTCCTCCTCTTTCTCCTTTTACTGGCTTTTTTCAGGGCACAGGCTAAATTACTGTGCCCACCAGGTGGCCTCCCAATTCTTTTATTTTTCTTCTTTCCATAATAGTGTGCTAAATGTGAATGACAAAGAAAAAGTAGTTTCACTGTTTCTGGGTACCTCAAAATCACAAGAATTCTAATAGCATAGCAGAAAACTGTTATACTTCATGTGAGTAAAGTTTAAATACCAGATCTTAAACATAGTTTGATTAGCGACAAATGCATAAACCTGAATAACCTTCCCCCATCAAGATGTAGAACATTTCCATCAACCCAGAAAGTTCCACTCTTCCTTTCAAGTTAGTCCTCCTCACCAAAAGCAACCACTCTTCTGATTTCCATCACTAAGAATAGTTCTGCCTCATCTCTGGAACCATTTGGTGGTATGTTTTGGGGCATGGCTTCTTTCATTTGGTATGTTTTTGAGTTTTATCTATGCTGTTGTGTGTATGAGTAGTTTTTTCATTTATATTAATAAATAGCTTTCTATTATATAATGACACCAGTTTAGTCTTCTGTTTATGAGCAGTTGCGCTTTTTTTCAACATTAACTATGTTGCAATGAACATTCTTGCAAAAGGCTTTCAGTAGACATATTTTCCTGGGACAGCAACATATGAATGTTATTGCCGGACCAGGGATGGGCAGGTGTATGATTCACTTTTAAAAAACTACTGAACAGCTTTCTAAAAGGGAGGTGAATTTTATACTCTGACCAGTAATGAATGAAAAATCTAGTTGTTTACTATCTTTGCCAACAAAAGGGATTGTCAGTCTTTTTTATTTTAGCCAATCTAGTGGGGGAGTAGTAACTTCTCTTTGCAGTTTTAATTTACATTTCCCTGATAACTAATAATACTGAATACCACTTTTTCATGTGCTTGTTATTGGCAATTTGCCTATCTTTTTTTGTCAAGTGTCCAAGTCTTTTATTCATTTGTTAAAGCTGTTTTGTTTTGCATTTTTAAAAGATTTTATTTATGCATGCATGTAAGAACTGGGGTCCAGGCCAGAGGTGTGGGGGGAGGTGGTAAGAGGATTCACCAGAGACAGAGTGGGGAGCAGAACAGGTGGATAGACTGAAGTACACTGCTGAGGGGAGCAGCGGGCGAGTCAGGAGAGGTCTGCTGTGTCAGGAATTGAACTCACGCAGCAATGTGGCTAGATAATGGATAGCTTGATAGTGCTGAGACTTTAACCCCTACACCACCAGGTAGGCCCTTGTTTTGCATTTTTTGAGATATAATTCTCGTAACATAAAATTCATCATTTTATTTTTTTTTAAAGATTTATTTATGCATACAAGAGCTGGGGTACAGGCCAGAGATGCGAGGACTGAGTGGAGAACAGAACAGGCAGATTGACTGAAATACACTGCTGAGGGGAGCAGCGGGCAAGTCAGGGGAGGTCTGCTGCATGATGTGGCTCTCTCCCTGGCAGGCAGTTGGGGATTGAACTCATGCTGCAGAGGCTGTGTATTGCTTTATAGTGTGGTGTTTAACCCCTTGCACCACCACGGAGGCCCAAAATTCATCATTTTAAAGTGTACACATTCACTGGGTTTTAGTGCACATTTTAGTATATGTTATACAACCATTACTACTATCTAATTCCAGAACATTCTGATTCTTTTTTTGAATTGAGGCAAAATTCACATAACCATTTTTAAATGAACAGTTTAGTGGTTTTAATGTATTCACAATGTTGTACAGATACCAGCTTTCTCTAACTTCAAAAATTCTTATTGTGTTGTGAGAGTTTTTAATATATTCTGGGGATAAGTTCTTTGTTGGATATATACACATATATGAAACATATACATATATATGTATATACAGGATACAGTGTACATAATTTTTATTTGTGAGATATAGCAAGAACATTTTCTCCAAGACAGTGACTTGTCTTTTCCATTTTATAAACAGTATTATTAAAAAGCAGATTTTTAATTTTGGTGATGTTTATTAATTTTTCCCTTTATGTTGGTGTCTTGAGGATATCCTTGTTTTCTTCTAGAAGCTTAATAGCTTTAGCTTTTATATTAGGTCTATGATACATCTTGATTTTTGTAGAAATTGAGGTACAAGCCAAGGAATTTTGTTTTTTTGATTTGGATAGCAAATTGTATTACTGCCATTTGTTGAAAGAATTTCCTTTCTCCATTAATTTTTTTTGTCATCTCTGATGACAATCATTTAACCACATAAGTTGTTTCACATTTTTTGGCTCTATTTCTGAACTCTCTATTCTGTGCCATCACGCTGACTACTGGGTCAGCAATACCCCACACTCTTAATTACTATAGCTTTCTTGTAAAATTTGAAGTCCTCCAATTTTAATCTTTTCTAGAATTGTTTTGGCAATTCTAGATCCTTCACATATTTATATATCAAGTAGAATACAGAGACAATTAAAGAAATGAGACATATATTTTAGCTGAGTTAGATATTGAAATATAATTTTTGCAGAAAAAAACGTAAGTTCTTCTAAAGGATGTATATAGAACATACATCCATTTGACGTTACTCAAATTACTAATTAAGAAAAATTACAAAGACTGTCTCCTAAAATCTAAGCTAGTTTCAAATGTATCATTGTTAAAACAGAAAAAAAAAAAAAGGCATAACAAAATCCATGCATCTTCCAAAGGCTCGAAGTGGTGTGCTAAATATGGACTTACATGAAGAGGGTATTTTACTTAGCTACTAAAAGTTTGCAAAGTAAATGCTAACTCTGACATAGTAAACTAAGATAATCTGTGCCTTTAAGGAGTTAACAATCCAATAAATAGAAACTAGAAGGTTAGATTCTTACATGAATTTGTAATATTTATTAGAAAGTTCATTTTGCTAAAGTGGATCTTGGAACTAAAACATCAACATCTTGTATCTTATTGGAAATGCAGACACTTTGGTCATAGATACCCTCAGATCTGATGAGTCAGGACCCCTATTTTAACAAGACCCTCAGGTGATTTGCATACATAAAACTTATGAGGCACAGAATTAGAAATCCCTATTCTGCATTATATTGTGGGATTTAAGAAAAGGTTGAACACAATTTTGTCTTTTGGTAACAATACCTTGAAGAGGCTCTGAATTGGAAATTTCAACCTGTATGACTTTTTTCCTTTTTGCCATTTCACAAGGAAGAGAAGCAATGAGAAGGAACAGGTGATGGTTTGGTTCAGAGGTTTCCCATTACCTGCTCCATACCCTCCTACCTCCTCAACCACTCCTGCTCTTTGCTGCTTTTTAAAGGGGCCTCCCCGGTGGCGCAGACGCAGAGGGTTGAGCACAGTGCTGTGAAGCTGTCCACCACCTCCGCAGTGCCACCGGTTTGATTTGGTTCAATTCCCGCTCTGCAAGGGAGATTCCCACATGGGTCGACAGACCTCCCCTGTCGAGCCCGCTGCTCCCCTCAGCATTGTATTTCAGTCCTTCTGCCTGTTCTGCTCCCCAGTCTGTCTCTGGTGGATTCTCTCACCCTCCAGCCTCTGGCCTGTACCCCAGTGCTTGTATATATAAATAAATCTTAAAAAAAAAGAACTTATAATAAAAAAATAAAGACACTAAGCATGTTCTTTCTTGCCACATGCCTGTGCTCCTGCTGCCCTACCAAGAACAGTCTCACCCACATGTCTGCACACAGTTGGCTCTCTTGCTTCAGATTGTTACCTATCAGGAAGACAGTCCTGACCATCTGTATAAACTTCGCCCAACCTCCCTGTCTTCCTCACATTCCTACTTTACTTGCTTATTTTATTTCATTTTTCTCCATAGTACTTACCTCTCTATATTTGTTCACTTGTTTATTATCTGTCTTCCACATAAAAATGTAAACTCAATGAAGAAAGGGATTTTTTTCTTTACTCCTGTATGCCATGCCAATGCTCCTATAACAGTGGTGGCACACAGTGGACACATAAAATATACTTGCAGATTATGTGAATGAATTATATATTATTATATATCCCATTACATGCTTTATATACAATGCTCATATTATTATATTACATTACAGTATATTTGTGTGTGTATATTAGCAAACTAGGTTCTGTGGGCCAAATGTAGCCCACGGCCTGCGTTGGTATGGTACTCAAGCTAAAAATGGTTTTTACATTTTTAAAGGTGTTCTTTAAACAGTGAAAACAAAAAATAAATATACAAAAAAGATCATATGACCTGCAGCCCAAAATATTTACTATTAGGTCCTTTACAGACAAAGTTTGTATATCTCTGCACTAAGTGAATGCCTGTGAAATAAAAACTTACCAGGATAAAAGGTACAGGTAACAAATATGAAAAAATGACTCACTATATTTGGTCTTTGTAAGTACAGAACAGTTCTCAGAACATTTATCCAGAACCATCCGTGGACCGAAAAGATTAGGACAGCACTCCAGTTTGATACAGGTCTGCCGGCAGAATTCAGTTACCCGATCTGCTGTTTTCACTATTTCAACAGTAGCGCGATAACTCTTTCCTTTGTATCTGCCATTGGAAGACACCAGATACTAAGTTTAATGGGCCAGTTATTAACCACAGAAAAATCAACTATATTAACAGACGTAAACTTTTTTTTTACTACTTAGAATATTCTTTAAAGTTTAAGAACACTGAAAACAAGTTTATGCACATTGTAAGTAAATTTATAATTTAGTAAGCTATGATAATTAAAAGCTGGGGTATTTAAATTAGCAAAATATAGTTCTTGCTTTTGGTTCCTAAGTTTAAGTTTCAAATAGTAACTTCTACACTAACTACTGAAAGAACAATGACTTTTAGTAAATCTTTCTTTACCCTATGATAGTGACCCACAGTGTATGACCCATGGACCAGCATAACCTTCCAAGTGTCACCCATCCACGACAAAATCAGGTCAGGTAATAAGAGTAAACGTTTATAAAACTTTCATAGTAGTTTGCGAAAGTAATTTTATATTGCTCTCAAATTTAATAACAAAAATTGTTCTCATATTTTTGTGTCTTTCAAATTTCTTATTTCTTATAACTAATTTTTATCATATTTAATAAAAATATTGGCTCATGGCAGTATGGAAACTTAAAAAAGAAAACAACTGCTCCTTCATAAATAGCTGAAAAACTAACCAACAGAATGTAAGTATTCTAATATTATCCAAGAAGACCTGATTCCATGACCTGTTAGGGACAAATAAGAATAAAGTGCAGAACCTACTCACTTGGCTTTAAGGACTTCCCCACATCCATGCCATACAGAGTCTTTGTCCAGCTGCAGTTCCCGAAGGACTCGACTGGGTTTATAGGCTGCATTGATAAGTAAAGTGAGGACCTGAATTCCATTTTTTTAAAACCAAAACAAGAGTTGGGAAGGAAAAAAAAAATAGACCATTAGAACCCTAGAATGTCAATTAGGAGATCAATGCTAGCAATATTAATAAATATTAACAAAATAATAATGGTGAAGATGAGGCAGAGGGCCAAAGTTGTAAATAAGAAAGTAACCAGATCCTCCTTCAATATTCAAAACATTTTAGTGAAAAAGAAACAGGTACCATGAATTAAAAATCACTTTAATATATGCTTCTAAATCCTTTCCGAGTCAGTCACATCACACACACAAAAAAACTGTATTTGTTTGGGACACTTTGTAAGCAGCTGAGTCTTCTTGTTGCTGCAAGTATCTGTCCCAGAAGGCTCCAAGCTCCCACAGCATGCCTTTCTACTTTAATGACTAAGAGGTATAATACCCCTCACATATATTACTGATAGTATAGCACTGGCTGGGAAGTTCTGAAAGGCCAATGGATGTGTAGCTTTTTCAGGGTTAACACCACACAGTCTCTCAAGAACTAAAGTAACTGCATATTTTCTTTCATAGTTCTCATGTGGACTCTGACATCTGTGTTGACAGAAGTGAACCTGTTGTGTGTAGAACTGCTTAGGTGAATGACTTCTAGGGATCAGAAATAATTAAGTGCCCAATTTTCTTATCCAAAACATGAGAAAAGTTAGTCACTTTAAAAACATATTTATTTATTTATTTTACATCATTCTTCATTTTTGTACAATGTATGCTTTCTCATCTCAGTTATAGTGCCCATGAAATTCTCACCACCAATTCACCTGTGAACCATCACCCTAGTCCTTTGTGCTCTTCCCTCCCGTTTCGATTCTACCCCCTTCTCTCCCCTGGCAGAATGTCTCTGGTTTATAGTTGCCTGTTGATTTTGATTTTTACTTTAATAACTTTTTTCCCCCTTAATCCCTGATGTGGATCCCCTACATCCCTCCTATAAGTGAAACCATGCAGTATTTTTCTTTTTCTTTCTGGCTTATTTTACTGAGCATGATCCCTTCTAGCTCCATCCATGTTGGTAGAGTTGTCACATCTATGACATACAGATCCCTGTATGAGTAAATCTACAAGACTGCTGTGAAATTTCCAAGTTCCTTTGCTCTAGGCAAGAACCTTACCTCTCTGAGGACTAGGACACAGTTTCCAGGTCCTACACATTGAGGAAGCTCAGCAATTCTGCCTTTGTTAAGATATGGCCCTGAGAAACAACGGTGGTTGAAGTATATCTTTGGACAGCAATATTTTCCATTAATCATAACTGGGAAATGAAAAAAACAAATATTCAGAACAAAGTCATTGTCTACCTTTTGTTTCCAAAGATGAATGGGGAAGTGACTGGGAAACAAGAAGTCTATTTACCATCATATAAAGTTAAGAATTACATATTTTGAAGCTTAACACATTATCTGAGAATACCCTTCTGGTAGTGCAAGGGGTTGAGCACCGCACTGTGAAGTGATCCACGGCCTTTGCAGCACGAGTTCAATCCCTGGCCGGCCAGGGAGAAACCTGCATGGCAAGGCGGACCTTTCCTGTCTCGCCCGCTGGTCCCCTCAGCAGTGTATTTTGGTCAGTCTGCCTGTTCTGTTCCCCACTCTGTCTCTGGTGAATCCTCTCACCACCACCCCACCCCCGGCATCTCTGGCCTGTACTCCAGCTCTTGTATGCAAAAATAAATAAATCTAAAAAAAACCCCAAAACAACCCTATGGTGGCTTCCCTTAAAAAAAAGAAATACTGATAACTTTATAGATTCATCTGCTAATATCAAACAACATACTGAATTATGTGCAGATTAACTCCTGGGTAAATGCAATAATGTTCCAGGGGCCTGTATTTTTAGCACTAAAGGAAGTAGAGGATTTACTTTAAGAAGGCATGATGCTTCCTGATTGCCAATTATTCAATAATCTATTCTGAAATATTTCTAAGGGCTGAGACTACATTGTGACCACATCTCTAAGTTTTTCTTTTTAAAGATTTATTTATTTGCATACAAGAACTAGGGTGCAGGCTGGGGGCGGGGGTGGGTGAGAGGATTCACCAGAGGCAGTGGGAACAGAACAGGCACAGTGACTGAAAAACACTGTTGAGGGGAGCAGCTGGTGACATAAGAGAGGTCTGCTGCTGCGACATGTGGGTTAGCTGCCTGGCCTAGGGTTAGGGGATGGGGCGGGTGTCAAACTTGTGCTGCATTGGCTGACAATAGCTTGATAGTGCTGTGTCTTTAACCCCAGCGCCACCAGGGAGGCCCCCATATCTCTAAGTCTTTTTGGCATTATGGAATGTACCTAAGCCTTCAACTATTTTTCAGTATGAATATTGTACTGCAATGTAACTTTTTAATCTATCTCATAGTGGTTGGAAGTTAGCTAATAAATATAAAAAATTCAAAGGCACTAAAACATCTTCATTTTCATATAGAGCAGACAAACTCTTCTGATGATACTGCCCTATTAATCCAATGTTAAGGAAAGGAAATATGTATACATTGCCCACATTGCCCTGAAGTACACAGTATTCACTCTTTCATTAAGAATGTAGTCTTGGGCCTCCCTGTGGCGCAGCGGTTGAGCTCTGGGTTGCGAAGCTGCCCGCAGCCTCTGCAGCACCAGTTCGATCCCCGGCTGCTCCCCAGCCACTGGCGGAGGGTCCCACATGGCGCGCAGACCTCTCCTGCCGCCCGCTGCTCCCCTCAGCAGTGTACTTCGGTCTTTCTGCCTGCTCTGCTCCCCGCTCTGGCTCTGGTGAATTCTCTCACCCTCCCACGCTTCTGACTGTACCCAATGCTTGTATAAATAAATAAATAAATCTTAAAAAAAAAAAAAAAACTAGCCTTTGGGCCTCCCTGGTGGCCTAGGGATTAAGTGTCAGCACTATCCCCTCTATGGCCTGAGTCTGATGCCCTGCCAGAGAGATAACCCACATGGCGCAGCAGACCTCTCCTGTTTCGCCCGCTGCTCCCCTCAACAGTGCCTTTCAGTCAGTCTGCCTGCTCCGCTCCCCAATCTGTCTCTGGTGAATCCTCTCACCCCCTTACCCCCACCCTGCACCTCCTGCCTATACCCTATGCATAAATAAATAAAACAAATCTTTAAAAAAATAAAAGAATGTAGTCTCAGCACAGTGGTTATTATGTCTGTGTCCACTTACCCATTTGAACTCTGCCACCCAGATCCCTCTCTTTGGAATTAAGGTAGTTATGCTCCCTGCTGCTGGGAATGGTGATTGTAAAACTGTTCTGCAATTATCCTCAGTCAGGGTGTGATCTCAATAGAAAAGAGCCACTCTGCCCAAGGTTCTACCCTATGTGACGTGGAAAGGGAGCAGCAGCCAATTTTTAACAAGTAACCAATAAGGAATTACAAAGATATAGCCACCACTCTTCAGGCAAGGGTGACTCAGAGTGGCTATCCCAGTTTCCTGTATGACTGGTGGTAATTTCTGTTACAAATGGACTATAGTTGAACTTTCCCCTCTGCCCAATACTGCTTTCTTTACCCTGCCAGGAACTAGTCCCAAAAGCACTCCCCAATGAAACACCTGCATGTAAGTATCAGAGTCTCAGAATATGTTCCCAGGGTACACTGACCTATGACAAAACCTAGCCCAAACAAACTTGGTAGAGGTCACAACAGGAGATGTATATGCCTTAATTCTGTAGTTTCAGTTGGCATTAGTATAGTTAACATTAAAAAACAGTGCTTTCTTGTAATTTTTAAAATTTCTCTTACCCTTTGATAGCAAATCAAAACCACCATGAGAAGGTGATGTCTCATCTATTAGAATAGTGATTATCAAAAAGACAAAGTGTTGAAAAGGATGTGGAAAAAAGGGAACCCTTGTGCACTGTTTGTAAGAACGCAAATTGGTGCAGCCACTATGGAAAATAGTATGGAGGTTCCTCAAAAACTTAAACCAAAATTATAACATGAGACCCAAAAAGTCCCACTTTTGGGTATTTATCTGAATGAAATAAAAACACTAACTTGAAAAGATCTATGCACCCCTATGTTCAATGCAGCATTATTTACAATAGCCAAGACATGGAAGTCATCAATGGATGTATGGATAAAGAAAATACGGTATAAATATACTAGAATATTAGTCAATGAAATATTATTTGGCCACAAAAAGGAAATCCTGCCATTCATGACAAGCATGGACCTTGAAGGAAGTATGCTAAGTGAAATAACTCAGAAAAGGACAAAAACCCTATGATCTCACTTACATGTACAGAATGTGAAAAAACCCATCTCATAGACACAGAGAACACATGGTGACTACTGGGGCAGAGGGAGGTGGTGGTGACAGAGGTGGAAGAGACAGGGCAATGGGCGAAATGCGTAAAAGTGACCAAAACGTACAATAACTTCCAGCTATAAATAAGTCTTGGGGATGTAACCTGCAACATGGCAGCTATGGTTAATGATACTATATTATATACTTGAAAGTTGCTTAAGAGAGTACTTTTTTTTTTTTAAAAAAAGATTTCATTATTTACCCATACAAAAACTGGGGTACAAGTCAGAGGTGCTGGGGTTGGGGGTGAGAGGATTCACTATTCAGAGATAGAGTGGGGAACAGAACAGGCAGACTGACTGAAATACACTGCTGAGGGGAACAGTGGGCGAGACAGGAGAGGTCTGCTGCACCAACCATATGGGTCAGCTCCCTGGCCAGGGATGTAACTCCAAGTGTACATCTTAAAAGTTCTCCTCTGGGGCCTCCCTGGTGGCGCAAGGGGTTAAACACAGCACTGTGAAGCTATCTGCAGCCTCTGCAGCATGATTTTGAGCCCCGGCCGGCCAGAGAGCTACCCACATGGTGTAGCAGACCTCTCCTTACTTACCAGCTGCTCTGCTCAGCAGTGTATTTCAGTTGATCTGCCTTTTCTGTTCCCTGCTCAGTCTCTGCTGAATTCTCTCCCCCTCCACACCTCTGGCCACACCCCAGTTCTTTGTATGCATAAATAAATAAATCTTTAAAAAAAAAAAGTTTTCCTCTGAGGGGGAAAAATGTAAATAGGTATGGTGATGTTAATTAGATGTATTGTGATTATCTATAAAATGTACAAATGTCAAATCACTGTATTGTACATCTGAAATTAATATATCAATTATACAGCAACTTTTAAAAGGTAGTTGCAAAAGAGAAATTAGTACTAATGCTATTCTGCTGAGCATGCAAAAGACATGGTCAAGTAAGAATTATGATCAAGTGAGAGCTACCCCAGGAAGGCAAGGATGGTTTAACATTTAAAAAATTCTCCCAATGAAATTCACATTATAAACTTGAAAAATCGTATGATCATTCAATGCTGAAAAATATTTATTTTGTAAATATGAATGTATAAATGCTGAAGAAAAATTATTTTGTAAACATATACATACAAAAATGTTTCTGAACAAGGTTCACAGAAAACTAGAAGTATAGGGAAACTTCTTTAGCAGTTACGTATCAGTCAGCTATTTATATTAGAGAAAGTTTAGGGCTTTCCCTTTAATGTCATGAAAGTGCCACTACCACCCTATGTGTTAAATGCACTAAAAGTTCTGTAAAAAACTATAAGGAAATAAAAATAAACAAATAAAATTGTTATTCTAATAAAGGTAACTATTAAAAAAGTAAATGTGTTAAAACAGCTCAGATTCTGTTTAAGTGATATAATGAAAAGGCAGTAGGAAGAAGAGAGAAAAGTACTTTGAACTTGAGAAAAATTTGAGGTCCATTTTGACCCTACCAGCCATAGATTGTGTGACCACTGTGAACTCTGGTTTCCTTTCTTTTCTAGGCAACTACTAAATACCTTCCAAATAAATATCGGTACAAGAATACACAGTCAAGATGGTAAGTGCTATACAACCAGCAAAGGTCGTCAAGAGCAGTTCTAGGGAAAAAAACCTTTGGGTAAAAAAAAAAAAAAAAAAAAAAAAAACATGATTTTTGTCTCATTTATCAGGCATACCCTCTGGAATAATCTGTTTTCCCAATGACTATTATGACTATTTTTTTAACTGTAAAATACACACACACACACACACACACACGGGGGGGGGGAGAGAGAGAGAGAGAGAGAAAGAGAGAATGTTTATATCATTTTAAAAAAGGGTTTAAAAATGAGTAGATATCCATGTTTCAACTACTCAGCTTAAGAAAGACTATTGCCTGAAAAGCCTCAGGTTGTTTAAACTCAGTGATGGTAATACTGCCTCGAGGCACTGATAAGTGATCAGTAAAAAATAGCTATAATTATTATAAATAAACAGAAACTGCTTAGAGATAATTGTTAAACTAAATACATGTCTTCCAGTTACTATTCTAAAACACAATTAAGACACCCCTCTATGAAGCTACAGCCTATAATCAAATGTGTTCTTCAATTTATTTTTGGAAAAATCCATTAAAAGAAACTAAAGTTCCTCTTTTTCATAAGATTATATGTACTTTTACCTGAGTCTGCGGAGTTCAGCTCCTGATTCTTCAGGCCCTCATGGAGAGTCCTTGAAGATGGTATTCTGGGTCAAGAAAACACACAAAATCATGAGATAACCCTTAAGGTCAGTAAAGTCTAACAGCTAATTTCCCTCAAATCTAAGAAAGCAAATGTGGTAGGTTACAAAATTTGTAAGGGAAGGTGCTTCCCTTGATTTTACTTTAAAAAAAAAAAATTGTTTTTTAAAACTATGAACATGTTCCAACTTCTAACATTCTAGTTCTAAGAGCCAACAGTCTGCAGAAAATGCTGTGATACTACAAGTTCAAGTCAATTTTCTTTCATTTATATGAGCAACAAAGTATAGAATTCCTTGTGGGTTTCTTAATTCACAAGTAAACTTATTTTAAGCAAAAACCAAAATATTTTTTACACAGGATCTGTTTTCTTTAGTTTCAAAACTGAAGACAAATTATGTAAAAAAAAAAAAAAACAAAAATAACAACAACAATACAACACAACCTAGATTTACTCTGTATGTAGCAAGGCCAAAGTATTATTATCTTCTTAGAGTATGCCCTAACTAAGCATTAGCTCAGTCTTGATAATTCAGTCAATGAAAAACCCAAGGCCAGTTTTCATTATTGCTATCTCACACCTGTACCTGGGAAACAATACTGTGTTTTTTTCCTCCCACTTGTATTTTCATTTTTCTACTTAAAAGTAGCTACAAATTACATAGAATTTGCTATATACTAAATTGTGTACACTTTAGTTTCATTTGTTGAAACCCCAACACCCAGTATATGTTTGGAGATAGGGCTTTTAGGCAAATAAGGGTGAGGCTATAGTTTAATACGACTGGTGGCCATATAGTAAGAAAAATGGAAAAACATATCCCTAGCTTCTGCTTCCTGTCTGCGCCATGTGCAGACACAGCTTCCAAGCAAGCTAGGAAGAGAGCCCTGACCAGGAACCTAATTTGGTATCTTGATCTTGGACTATTAGCCTCCAAAACTATGAGAAAATAAATTTCTGTTGTTTTAAACCACCCAGTCTGTGTTACTTTGTTATGAGAGCCCAAGCAGACCAATACAGAATTGAAAACCCAATGTTTAAACACACAAACATACACACAGAAACCCTTGTATTTTTATGGCACTGCTAAATCCTTCTCAAAAGCCATGTATGAAGGTATTCTACTAAGGGTTTCTCAATGGGATACGAAGGCTCTCCTCTTGGTATGTCTTTTTTTTTAAGAGTTATCTTCTAATGCAAGTTTTCTTTCCCCCCACTGTGACAGATCATATTCTGATTTTCAATTTTTTAAAAGATTTATTTTATTTATGCATACAATGACTGGGATATAGGCCAGAGGTGCGGGGGTGAGAGGATTCACCAGAGACAGAGTGGGGAACAGAACAGGTGGATCTACTGAAAGACACTGCTGAGGGGAGCAGCAGGCAAGACAGGAGAGGTCTGCTGCACCATGTGGGTCAGCTCCCTGGCCTAGGATTGAACTCTTGCAGCAGTGGCTTATTAGTGACAGCTTATTAGTGCTGATACTTTAACCCCTGCACCACCAAGAGGCCCCTGATTTATAATTTTTGCTCTTCCTTAACAAATATGGCAGAAAGACTCCATTTCCTCTCTTTAATTCAAATAGCCTCAGGCTCTAATAGCCAAATCTCAACTCAGGGAGTATCATACAACCTCATTTTACCCTTTTGTTTATATAATGCCACTTTAGAAAATGTGTGCATCTATAAGAAGTATTCTGAGGACCTCCCCGGGAGTGCAAGGGGTAAGATGCAACCCATAAAGCTGTCCGCAGCCTCTGCAGCACAAGTTTGATCCTCCAGCCCGGCCAGGGAGCAACCCACACGGCTCAGCAGACCTTTTCTGACTCGCCCACTGCTCCCCTCAGCAGTGTACTTCGGTCAATCTGCCTGCTCTGTTCCCCACTCTGTCTTTGGTGAATCCTCTCACCCCCCTCTGGCCTGTATCCCAGCTCTTGTATGGAAAAATAAATCTTTTTAAAAAAAAAAAAAAGTATTCTGAATTGAAGGAGTATGTTCCCATCTGAGAAAATAACATATGAAGAGATATATTCTATTGAAATAGTTATTTCTTTTTCTAGAGATTCTCATTTTTAAATGTCAACTATACAAAATATTTGTTATATTACTTACTGTTTTTCTGGTTGAACCACTGCAATTTTCCTCTGTTTGTGTACTACAAGAACAAAACAAAAATATAAATGTCAAGAAAAATTTAAAAAAAAATTAAATATGTATTATATTAACAGCCTATTTAAAATCTGGTTCTGTGTATATTTAACTAGTAAATACTACAAATTAGTGCTACCTCTAAATATCCAGACTAAGGCACATTTTCTGTGTAGGAGTCTTTAAACAAAGACCAAAAATATTTTCAGGGTTCCCTGGGTCAATCAACTCTTATGAATATTTCCTAAGCAGGATATTTCCTAAGCAGGATATTCAAAATAACAGATATTCAAAAGAAAAACTGATTGTGACAAGGTGCCAAGACCATTCAATGGAGAAAGTAATTTTTTCCACAAATGGTGCTGGGAAAAGGGAATACCACCTAAACTCTTAACTTCCACCAAATACAAAAATAAACTCAAATGGATCAAAAATGTAAACATAAGAGCTGAAGCTATAAAACTCTTAGAAGAAAACAAAGGGAAACATCTTCATGATAATGAATTTGGTAATGATTTTTTGGCTATGATACCAAAAACACAGGAAACAAAAGAAAAAATAAATTGGACTTCATTAAAAATAAAACCGATGTCCAAAGGACACAGTCAAGAGAGGGAAAGCCACAGAATGGGAGAAAGTATCTACAAATCATCTATCTGGTAAGGGATTAATATCTAAACTATATAAAGAAATCTTAAAACTCAATAATTATAAAAATTAAAAAGATGGGTAAGGATTTATTAGGCATTTCTCCAAAGAAGATATAATAATGGCCAATAAGCACATGAAATGATGTTCAACGTAACAATTAGGGAAATGCAAATTAAAACCATAGTAAGATATCATCTCATACCCGCCAAAATGGCTATTACCCCAAAAAAGCCAACTAGCCTACCAGAAACCTTCCAGAAAACAGCAAGTGCTGGGGAGAATGTAAAACTTTTGGGTTGTAGGAAAAGTCATGATACATTTTTGCTTGAAAAACATAGAAAAAAATAAGTCATGACTTTTCCGACAACCCACATAACATAAATGAACTCTGAAAACATTATCCTAAGTAAGAGAAGTCATCACAAAAAACTACATATTATATGATTCCATTTATAGAGTTCATTTACACAAATGTACAGATCAGGTAAATCTATAGAGATGGAAAGGAGATTAGTAGCTGCCATGGGCTAGGGAAGAATGGAGAGATGATTACTAAGGGGTATGATGAAGCTGTTCTTAAAAGGGGGTGGGGTGGATGTCACTTTTAAGGTTAGATTATAAAAACATTCTGACTTCTTAAAGATAGCCAACTACAATGCTGTGAGCTGGCCTATGAAGAGGCCCTCAGTCCAAAAACCCACACAGAAATGAATTCTTGCCAGTAATTACCTCAATAAACTCAGGAGCAGAGCCTCCCCCAGTTGCACCATAGATGACTAGAGTCATCTTGATTGCAGCTTTGTGAGACACCTGGATCCAGAGGACCCAGCTAAGTTGTGTCCAAATTTCTGACCCACAAAAACACAGATGATGTTTGTTTCAGTAAATAATAACCATTTTATTTTTCTCTGAAATGTCCAGATTCATCCTGATGTTTGTAGTCACACAACAAATAATTTATCAATCAACCCCTGACACAGAAATACATAGCTACCGCGTGCTCGCCGAGGAGCGCTGAGGGGGTGGCCGTTGGTTTCACACCAACCCAAAGGAAATATGTCCATGGACTCCACACTCACAATACATTCAGGTATGGGCTTCTTAGAACCTGTTTAGATTTAAAAAATTATTTGTCAATTAAAAACCCCCTAAATTACTTCCTAGTTAATGTCCTACTATTTCAATAAAACAGTCTGTAATACTTTTACACAAAACACCTACTTTTTCATGTGTGACAAACACTAAGGAAAAAAGGAAAGCTGTCCCCCATGCATAAATGCTTAAAGACCAAAATGGACAGTGAATGTACCGGGTGATTCTCAGCTAGGGAACACCAAAAAGCAACTGGAATTACTAGTAGTCATATTCAGATGTTTTGTTTTGTTTTATAGAGCCCATCACAAATGTGCATGTCATCCTTGTGCAAGGAGCCATGCTAATCTTCTCTTTATGGTTTCAATTTTAGTGTATGTGCTATTGAAGTGAGAATAGCATTCAGATGTTAACAAAAGTCAGTCAACTCCAAGAAACAACTGGAAATCAAAGGGCAAAAGTAACTGTTCTACTCAATGAGAATATTAGGTATTCAGTAATACGCCAGGAGGTACACCAGTGAATTCAAAGTGACATAGGCAAGATACTCAGTAGGCATTGTGTAGAAGTCTATATTCAATACAAGTCCTGGAAATCTGCATTCAATGCTAACTCTATAAACTGGAAACAGTAAGTACCGAGTCAGTCAAATAAAAAAGAAATCTAGGCCATATATAGTTACTGCCACACTGAGTACTCACACTGTGCTTTCCATTCACAAACTAGTCCAACCCTTGAATATTACTTTTAGTATATCTTCTCTATTATACATACCTTTTGGTTCTATAAATTGGGGACAGCCAAAATATTATTTCTTGAATAAGCCAGGTGTAAAAATGTTCATGCTCATTTATATTTTCGTCACATCAAAATATATGCCATTTAACTTACACTTTTTTTCTCTTCAAGAAAATAGAGGACTCTATAGTTGATGTTTTTTATTTACAGTCATTTCCTCAAACTTGAAAGTCAAGGACAGGAAGATAAATTTTTAGAATTTACCTTAGAAATCTTGTATCACAAATTAGAATCTTGAATCGCAAATTAGCAGTCTCTGAATAAAACCCCTACATAGCTAATCATATTACAGAGGTAACAGGAAAAGCAAAGGATAGTGGTCACAGGTAGGCTTCTAAGGAATGTTAGCCCTTACCCTCTAGCTGGAGCCATAGATAGGAGCCTCTCACTGCAGTAATGGTAGCAACACACACTTCTTCAGGGAGAAGAGGGTTCACTGCCTCAAGTTTCATGTTTTCCTTAAATTCATGCTCAAAAATTGACTAGAAAATAAATTAATCAAACACAAAGAGAAAAACTCAGTATTAACTCATGTGCTCATCTGAGAACTTTTCCAACATTTTATATTTTTAAAATTAATATTCAATCCTAGAGTAACTCTTTAAAACTATAGCTTTATTTTGCTTTGTTTCTTAATGATGCAAAATAAAAATGTCTCATTTGGTGTTATAGGAAGTATGGTTTTTGAGTTCTGATATACCTGTGTTCTTGCTATCTATTTGAGCCTGCTCAAGCTGTGCAAACTCTCTTTGCCTCAATTTCCTCATCTATCAGATGACACAGAGATCAAAAAAGACAAATATCTTGGAGAAAACTGATTTTGCTAGAAGAAAACTTCCCCAAAGGTAGGGAGAAGTAACATACCCTGAACGATAAAACAAAACCAAACCAAAAAACTCTTCTTACAACCAGACTAGTATGCTATTTAAAAAAAATTCACGTAACATTAATAGTTCTGGAAAATCAAAACCTGGTATCAAAAATTAAAAACTCAAACAAAGACCAAGCAAACAAAGACCAAGAAACAGAAAACAAGAGAAAAAAAGATAAGTAGAGGATCCTGGTTCAGAGGATCCTCTGATTGAGAGGATCAACACAAATAAAAGAAATTCCAGAAAGAGAAAAGAAAAAAATGAAAGGATGGAAATCAAAGAAGAGACTCAAGCAACTTCTGGGCAGAGAAAGATACAAGTATCAAGAGAGAACATGCTCACTGAGCAGCCTACCACACAGATGGAGAGAAACTACACTAATACATCACTGTGAAATGTGGTGACAAAGATAGTCCATCCATAACCTGCCAGGGAGGGAGAAAAAGGAAAGTCACCTATGTAAGATCAAGTACAAGAATATTTTTCAATTTCTGAAAGCAACACAGAAAGGTAGAAAAAAATTGAGAAATACTTTAAAAGTTGTAAAACAACATAACTTCTGCTTAAAATTCCACATTGAGCCAAACTATTAGTCAAGTTAGTAGAATGAAGACATTCTCAGATATGCAATAGCTATAAAAATTTACTTCCTTAGCAGCCCATTCCAAAAAACTGAAACAGGTTCTATTAAAAGAAGTAAGTAGAGGGCCTCCCCGGTGGCACAGTGGTTGAGCGCTGGGTTGCGAAGCTGCCCGCAGCCTCCGCAGCCCCGGTTCGATCCCCGGGCTGCTCCCCGGCCACCAGAGGAGGGTCCCACATGGCGCGCAGACCTCTCCTGCCGCCCGCTGCTCCCCTCAGCAGTGTACTTCGGTCCTTCTGCCTGCTCTGCTCCCCGCTCTGGCTCTGGTGAATTTTCTCACCCTCCCGCGATTCTGACTGTACCCAGTGCTTGTATAAATAATAAATAAATAAATCTTTAAAAAAAAAAAAAAAAAAAAAAAAGAAGTAAGTAGAAAGAAGAGGTCTTAAGAAATATAAAACAGGAATCCCAACTCCTAACAACAGGAAGAGGCAATTCCTTAATGACACTGAAAGGTGATTTCCAGGATTAAAGCTACATGGCAAGCCCAGTGAGCGACCACCGAGGGGAAGAGAGGGCAAGGAGCCCTGCTAGAAGGGCTGTCATCTCAAAGGAAAATGTTACAAAGACAGATTTCCTTTGTAGAAATAGTTATGAGAGGTTGCTGAAAGGTATGGCAAGAGATAGCAATAAAAACAAAGAAATTAATCTATGAAAAACACGGCAATTATTAACTTGAGGATAAATTAAAAAGGGAAACTTAATACACTACAGTGCTCAGCTATAAATAATATCTGAATGTATATGATAATGTAAACACTCAATTCATATTTAACCAAAAATTGTAATATTAACTCTAAAGGGAAAAAGAGGCAAGATAGAGGAGAAACATAATATGAAATAGGTAACTCATGTTCATTTGCCATTAATAAGGAACCAAAAGACATGTCTAAAATTAATGACTCAAAAGACAGCAGCATATTATTTTGAAAATGAAGAAGTATACTTGTCAGAATAATAGTGAAAAGAACAAGAAGTAAATACTTCTTGGAAGGGAGACCTTGGAAATGGATAAGTAGGGAACTATTGTTTTTTAAGCTTTTTACTGCTGTTTGGCTTTTTAGTATCTTTAAGTAAACTTAATTTTTCTTCACTTAATATTTCATATTTTGAACAATCAAAAAATAATGAACTAAAATTTTTTAATTCACATGATTTTAGTTAATAAGAAAATAGAAACTTTTAAAAACTAACTACCTTAACAAATTTACTTCTGTAGTAAGTGAAAATTTCCTTGGACCATTTTATTCACTCATTTATTTATTTTTTAAGATTTTATTTATTTATTAATATAAGACTGGGGTACAGGTCAGAAGCACGGGAAGGTGAGAGAATTCACCAGAGCGGAGAGCAAAACAGGCAGACGGACTGAAGACACTGCTGAGGGGAGCAGCAGGCTAGACAGGAGAGGTCTGCTGTGCCATGTGGGGTTCTCCCTGGCCGGCAGGGAATCGAACCAGTGTTGCAGAGGCCGTGGACAGCTTTGTAGCATGGCGCTCAACCGCTGCGCTACCGGGGAGGCCCTTATTTTTTTTTTAAAGATTTATTTTATTTATTTATGCATACAAGAACTGGGGTGTAGGCCGTGGGGAGGGGGAGTGGGGTTACTCAAAACCACGCTGTCCTTCACCCAAGTGGTCCCTCAATCACCTTCCCTGCCTGAGACAGGCTCTACATTTCACTCTGCTGACGCTCAATTCCTCATAGCAAACTTCCATTTCCAATTACATGAGAGGATTCACCTAAGATAAAGTGGGGAGCAGAACAGGTAGATCTACTGAAATACACTGCTGAAGGGAGCAGTGGCGAGACAGGAGGGGTCTGCTGTGCCATATGGGTCAGCTGCCTGGCTGGGGATCGATCTTGTGCTGCAGTGGCTGCAGATAGCTTCATAGTGCTGAGACTTAAACCCCTTGCACCTTGAGGGAGGTCCATGGACCATTTTAGTACAATCAACAAGATGCTTATTTAGCTTAAGTGAAAAGACTGACTTCAGAGTAATAATCATAAAAAGCATGGAAAGCATAGCAGTCTTGGCAGCCTCAAAACAGTGCCCATGAGAGAATAGGAGTTCTCACCGGAGGGAAGCACCTCTGAGGAGCAGCTTCAGCACCACACTGTTTGAGGTAGTCAGCCCAATCAAAGTCCTGGCTGGGGTAGCCTAGTTAGGGACAAAAGAACAATGAGTCACACCACACATGTCTGCTGGTTTTACCATTCTGCCAGGTGTCCACTCACAAGTCCTAATTTTTTTCAGTTGAGGACTTGATCATTTTAGAGGGGGAAAAACACGTATAAATCCAAGGCATTAATTTTATAAAATAAAGCAATGTGGTCAAACTATAACAAAATTCTTCGGATACACTTTAAAACTTTCAAGTTTCAAACTAGGTAATCTATTTTGAACAATATTTTATATGATTTAGTTGCTGGCTATTTACCAAAAGAATTTAATACAATTATAATAACAGGATTTGGTTTGTACCAATAAATCCTATCTTATTAATAACTCTATTATGACTTTGACTCTAAACATAAAGAGACAGAAATAATCCAGAACACTATTTACTCAGTAAAGAATTTTCTTTCATAAATGTCTTTCCTTAAACATGTCTTGGCTACTACTGATAGAATATCAGAACTGCTTTCAGATTCATGTTCCATATGCACTTATAATCAATCATGAATTCCTCTCCAAAAAAAAGAAGTTGGGTCTAGCACCCTGCTTAAATATACTGAAGTTCTTGGAAGCACCCCCTCCAATCTAATAACCTGACAGTACCACCTGTGTGTAAGCAGCTAGAACAGGCCCTGTTGTCTCTGAGCTGCTCTCTGTCCCACAGGGCGTAGAATCTCACAAGGGTTTGAGGCTACTCAAAACCCTGCTGTCCTTCACCCAACTGGTCCCTCAATCATCACCTCTGCCTAACTGAGACATGCACTACATTTTCATTCTGCTGACGCTCAATTCCTCATAGTAAATTGTATTCCATTTCCAATTACATGACCTACTACTTTACTTCTATTTACAAATACAGTTGCCCAATAACAATGCCGAAAGATCTAAGACTTGTAATAGTTGTTTATTCCTTTTTCATAAAGAGAGCAGGCAGAATAAAGAGCTTGGGATGTCTAGATCCTTCCTGCAAAGCAAGAACTTCCTCCTCTAGAGGTATCCCCTACCAACATTATCACCAGGCAGACATCCCTACTCTTGTGTTCACTGATGAAGGAGAACATAAGAGGTTCCCTTTTGCTCATTGAAGCACTGCATACAGTTTTTTGACTCTCCAGTGACAAGCCCAATACCTGTCTCATAGCAAATGTTCCATAAATGTTTATTGAATGAATAAAGCCTGGATGAAAGGCAAAGGCAAAGGTTCTGAGTTTTCATCTTTTGTTAATACAAAAGTGCACTTCTAGGCTAGTGTTTTAGCAGTTACCAGTCAGAAAGTGAAGTTGTGCTGTATCAAAAGTCTATAGTATAGACTGACAACCAAATAATCTGATATTTGACAACCAAATAATCTGATCAGATGGAAAACATCAACATTTCTGGACACTCAAAGTTAAAAAACAGTAAAGTTTCAATCAAGCTCAACTAAGTCCTATTTAAGAGACTTAATTTAAAGGTCAAAGATTACATTTTGCAAAGTTGCAAACACCAGGAAAATGAACTGCTACTTTCCTACCTATAGGCTCTCCAGGTCCTACTCTTGACCATAAACCTCTTTAGTCTGAAGACTCCCCTTCCAAAATGGAGCCTAGAAACCTAAAAGTCATCAGTAATCTACCTCCTAGCTATGACTCTAAAGTCTCTTCTCCTAAACCAGCTCCCAAAATTGTGCATCCTGTCCCCCACCCCATCTGTGACCTGCCAACAGATACAAGATAGACTGAATTAAGGGATCCATATGGAACCCCAGGTTGTTTTGAAGATACATTTGTCAAGGAAGGAGGACAGATCTTTATTTAGTAGTTTTTCAGTTTAATTTATAACTTTCAAATATGCAAATATGTGCAATCTACGCCTTCATTTACACTTGCCGTGGGTCCTTAAAATGTTGACAAGCGAGGGTATGAGGATAGAGAGGACAAAAGACCCAGGCAATGCCATCTGATAAACCTCATTTTAAAGGAAAAGTTCCCAATGAACAATTCAGAACAGAACAAATGCACACCAGGAGGCGGGCTGATGTGTAAACCATTCTTGAGACTCCACTGCACGGGAAAAATACCAGGACTGTCGACATGACACACAAAAGATCGCCGGGCATGATTCTCTGGTCGTAAGTCATCCATTTCCACCAGAAAGTACTTCTCATCAAAAACCTGTAGACACCATTAACAGATAAAACAGACAAATGGTTTTATGTATATGTATATATAAACACACATGTCATTTCCTCGGCATAACCAAACATGTTACACACTTCATAGCTACAGTGCATAATGATAATAATACTATGCACTCAAAAAAATATATCTTGTGTCATGCAATGTTTCAATTAAATGCTGTTCATGCATTAATTCAGTTTTAACATTCCTAACAATCTAAAGAGTTAGGTACCACTATCAGCCCCAGTGCAGATATGGAAACTGAGTTTAAAAAGAGGTTAGGGCCTCCCCGGTGGCACAGCGGTTGAGCGCTGGCTTGTGAAGCTGCCTGCAGCCTCCGCAGCGCCTGTTTGATCCCCGGGCGCTGGGCGAGGGTCACACATGGCGCGCAGATCTCTCCTGCCGCCCGCTGCTCCCCTCAGCAGTGTACTTCATCCATCTGCCTGTTCTGTTCCCTGCTCTGGCTCTGGTGAGTTCTCTCACCCTCCCGCGCTTCTGACTGTACCCAGTGCTTGTATAAATAAATAAAAAATAACATAACAAAATAAAACAAAACAAAATAAAATAGAGGTTAAATAATTTGCTCCATGTTGCATAGTCACAAAGAAACAGAACATGGATTCAGATCCAAATATTTGGATTCCAAACAAAATTTAGTTTAGGCTTACTAAACAACATTTGTTTGTTCGAGTTCCTGATCTTAGCCTAGTTTCTAATGCCTAAGAGAAGGTTTTATGCACCTCCTATGGCTCCTTCAGACTCCAGACGACGCCTTTTGGACCCACTGCAGTTCAGCGTTCCTCCTTGGTATAAGAATTATATTCTTGCAGGGCAAGGATAATTTAAATCTCAACAGACAAGATGAGTCAGCATCTTGTATTCCTCAAGTCACACTTGATTTTGTCTCTATTTTTCAGTAGAGAGGCTTCTGCACTAGTCCTCAACTCAAATTCTTGCCCTCATTCCTCAGTTTTAGTAAATGAGTAAACAGGAACTTGACAACTTGTCCAGCTCTTGTAGCTACTCTTATAAAAAAAAGTCTTCTTTTAGGGCCTCCCTGGTGGCACAGGTGGTTGAGCGCAGCACTGTGAAGCTGTCAGCAGCCTCTACAGTGCCGGTTCGAACCCCGCCGGCCTCAGAGCAACCCACATGGTGAGCAAACCTCTCCAGCCTCGCCCGCTGCTCCCCTCAGCAGTGTATTTCAGTCAGCCTGCCTGTTCTGTTCCCCACTCTGTTTCTGGTGAATCCTTTCACCCTCCCGCACATCCGGCCTGTACCCCAGTTCTTGTATAAATAAAATAAATCTTAAAAAAAAAAAAAAGTCTTCTTTTAGCATTCTTCCAAAAGATTAAAGTCTGAATTTAGAATTCATGGCTGGAGCAAACCTACTGACAGATCTTATGACACCAATCACCCGTTCCTCACGTATCTCCACACCCTGACTTCCCTGGGACCTGGTGGGCATTGATGACAATGCTTGCCTCCATACTTTCAGATGCCATGGCCGACCCACCGAATGGTTAAATCTCCTTTAGTTATATATACCTAAGCCTGCCCCAAAGAATATGCCCTCTGCAACTGTGGTGCCCAAGCCCCAATCTGCTTTTACTGACTGGGACTACTGGGACTACCAAGCACTGAAGAAGGAATGAGTCACGGGGAACTGGAACACATAAATACAAAGTGTGCATAGAACTAATTCTAGCCTTAGAGTTTAGGAGAAGCAATGGGTTGGATGAGTAGAGCCTGAAGATTAAAAAACCACCAATTTCCTAAACCAGTCACCCTGACAGGAATTCTTACCAAAAGAATTGCCCCCATTTTACCTTAACAATTGTAGCAGGAGAGATCCCAAAAGGAGACCAGGGGTCCACAGCTTCCAATTTCATATTTACAGAGAATGAATGAGTGCTAATCACTTGTTTATCCTGAAATACAAACACCAAGATGGAGAATGTAGTATTTTCACATTAACTTTATGCTCATATATAGCTGAAGATGCCTCCTAATTAAAATAATGGAACTGTTCAGCTTCTGCTAAATAATCTAATCCTGTAATTTTCTTTCCTGGAAAAAAATTATCCAGGTTGGGGGGCGGGGGGGAACACAGGAAGTACTGCCACAATCTTTATTCAAAACAAGAGCCATATGGAGGAAAAAACAAGTTTATAAACATGTTAGTGCTGTGTAGTGAAGAACAGAAAAAAACTCAAAATGCTTTAAGAGGGCACTCAGAAAACCTATACTATTTTTACAAGTAAAAAAGGATGATCACAGTACTCTCGCTAACTTCAGGGACTACTTAATGTTTTGCAGGTCCCCCAAATTGCTTTACTCTACTCTGAGGAGATATTCCAATCACACATTTTTATTTTTACCTTAAATAAGTAAGATGGTAATGGCTCTTCCTCCTCCTCTTTCACTTTGGCCAAGATCTCTTGCCACTCAATTTCATTTTTCAGATGTCTGATGGCTTTAGTAAAACCAGACAGGATACTTTAAATGAGAAAACTTACACACTTTGTAACTGTTCTGAAAGCATTCACATAAACAAAAAAGTAACTTTCCACTGGAAATGTAAAAGGTTCAAGCCCATCTTCAAAGAACTTAACACTTCAGTTCTTGCACCTACACTTCAGTATAGTTTTATGAAAATACTTCTAGTAAGATCATAAGCATTGCTATAATCCACAAAAAAAAAATAACAATCAAATTGGGGCATGAAATAATAAGTAAAAATTCATTTAAACAGTAACTCCAGTTTTTAGTATTATTGGAACGTCTTTTAATCAACAACCATTGTGAACCCCAAGACCTGTCCTATTCCTAAGCATATCTGAATGTTACCTAGAGAATTTTCCTTTAACTCTGTAAGGGGTTATTAGTATGAGTTAGGGCAAAAGTCTTCAAGGTATAACAGTACGTGTGACAAATTATGAAAGCAACAGAACCATATAATCTTTTTTTTGGGGGGGAGCAATATCTCTGTTAACATGCAAAACAGGGCCTCCCTGGTGGCTCAAGGCATAGGCGGTTGAGTGCAGCACTGTGAAGCTATCCACAGCCTCTGCAGTGCTGGTTCGATCCCCGCCGGCAGCAGAGCAACCCACATGGCGTGGCAGACCTCTCCTGCCTCGCCTGCTGCTCCCCTCAGCAGGGTAGTTGGGTCAGTCTGCCTGTTCTGTTCCCCGCTCTGTCACTGGTGAATCCTCTCACCCTTCCGCACATCTGGCCTACACCCTGGTACTTGTATAAATAAATAAATCTTTGAAAAAAATAACCATGCAAAACAACACATTTTTCAATCATATATATATAAATAAAAACATAAAACAATAATGTAATGATACAAGAAAATGTTACATTATTCTTCACCTAATGGGGGCTGAAGTTCATATCCTTGTTGAGCAGCCCAACCAACATGATGAAGAAACGGATCCAAATAATACAACCAATGCTCAAAATTGTCAGAATGTTCCAGTCCTTCATAGCGCAGCTTCAGCCTTCCCCCAATGTTTTCTACTACAGTAACAATCCAAGTGCTTAAAGAATCCCGGAAAGCTTGACATTCTAATCTGGAACCTGGAGCAATGAGATCTAAAGGATTCCTTCCATTACGGAGCTATAGGTAAAAAAAAGTAAAATGACTAAATAAGAGAATTTTAAATTTTTTTTAAAAGTCAAATTCTAAATGATCTCAAATAAGCTTTTATATTTTTATCCACTCAAAGTCAGTAACACCAGTTACCTAATATCATATAATTCTCCATAGTATTGCTTCTAGGTGATAAGAAAATGCTTATCAAAAAGAAAATCTACCTATAATAAAACTATTTTAATACATCTCCACTTGCAGGGTTGTTATTTAGTTTCATCTACTAAGAATTTTAAAAATGCCCTCATTTAGTCTGATTTTAAAAGCAAATTGAAAGTAAAAATTCAAAGAAAAGTTAAGTTACCACCAAGAAAGAACCAGGCTACACAGTCTGTCATACGTTTGTTCAGATCGGATTTTCTACACACAAATCAACATTCACCGGTCTGTCTCCCTGTCTATCTCACTCTCTCTCTTGTGTTTTTTGACAAATGGGAGCACACTGTATATTGTTTTCCAATGTGCACTTGTAAATATATCATCACTATCTTTCTACTATAGCACATATAAATCTTCTTCTTTCTTTTAAAACCTCTTTGTTTTATTGCTGATCTATATTATAAGGGCAGTAATTTATCCACTTATCTACCAATGGCATTTCAGTTGTTTCTGATCTTTTACTCATTCTACAACAGTACTCTTATGAACACAGTATTTTGATTACACTGATGGAAAGCAAAGTATCACTATATAGACATGTATTAAAAGCTACAAAAAAGGATGCTTGATTCCAACATTACCACTTACTCATTTCCTAATATTCAAACTTACATTTTCCCCTAATAAGAACTGTTCTGTGATACTTACATATTCATTCAAAACATATGCAAAAGAACATATGAAAAAATGGAAGAACACATTCACAGGTAAAGATCAGGATGGTGGAATTAAGGAAAATGCATAATAGGATGTTTAACAAGTCATATGTTCATGAGTTCATGAGTTCATTCAAATTTTACTCAGTGTTTAGTATGTGCCAGTTCAAGCATAACGTAATGAGCCATGGTATAAAATATAAAGATCAACATAAAAAAATGTTCTGTGAATGAATCACAGAATTAAATGTAAGAGCTAAAATTATACAACACTTAGAAGAAAACATAGGAATAAATCTTTGGGACTTGGGGGTAAGGAAGGTTTTGTTAAATATGACAAAGCACAAGCAACAAAAGAAAAAATACACTAACTGGATTATATCAAAATAAAAAAAATTTGTGCTGCAAATAATATCATCAAGAAAGTGAAAAGGGATTCCCTGTTCACAGAATAGAATATGGGAAATTATATATTTGGATCTGGATTTATAACCAGATTTATAAGGAACTCTTAACAGCTTAGTAATAAAAAAGACAACACAACTTAAAAATGGACCATGTCAATTAGCAAAAGTATATACACAAAAAATCACTAAGCACATAAAAAGATACAAAACAAGATAGTTATTAGGGAAATGTAAATCAAAGTGAGACAATACTTCACACCCACTAAGGCAGTTAAACCTAAAAAGAGAGCAACAAGTGTTGGCAAAGATGTAGAGAAATTGGAAGCTACAACACATTGCATTTCACATTTGCCAGAAGATTGCTAGTGTTATGGCAAAAAGTGACAACATATAATGTAGAAATGTCATAATCAAATAGACTTCACAAAACAAGAAATCTATATTCACTAACAATCTCAAACATCACATTAGCTTAAAAGGACTGCTGAAAGCAGATAGGTGGTTGGAACATAATAGGTCTAGTGTCTTCTGAATGAAAGAAAAAAGGGTACAAGTCACCTGGTGCAAGAGTTACAAATGACCATCCTACTTAGAATTGACCCCTGTTCAGTTCAAAAATGTTACATTCTCCAACTCATGAAATAATCTAGACAACTAGATTTTTGTGTTAGCAACTCATTTAGAACATTTTAAACACTAAATAAGCCATTAGTTTGCAACCTCTGAAATTAAAGTTAAACCTCCCTAAAACCCACGCCTATGTCTGCAATAATGCCAAATTTGCCTTGCAGAGGTAAAGAAGCAACCAATTTTAAGATTCCTTGAACAGGAAATATCACTGAAGATTAAATGGGTTTTCCTCATTAATTCTGCAAGTAGTAATACTCACGCCCTCTAGCAGTGGAACAGGAGGACTACATGCTCCCATCAGGGTCTGCTGCAGAAACTCATCCCAATCAGACACTTTATCTCTGAGGCCTAGATGAGGGAATAAATGACTGATTATTCATGTTAGTCAAAGAGCACAGGTTAAACTAAAAAGAGTATAAACTAAATCAGTGAAAATGGTTTAGAGATAAATTTTTCATTTTAATATTTAAGAGTACAACAGTTAGGGCTTCTTTGAGAACTTAAAAATGTTCCTCTAGATAGTTTAAAAAAAAAAATTGTATACCAGGGCCTCCCTGGTGGTGGAGGGGTTAAGTCTCAGTGCTATCAAGCTATTGCCAGTCTCTGCTGCGTGAGTTTGATCTTGATCACCAGCCATGGAGCTGACCCATAGGGTGCAGCAGACCTCTCCTGTCTCAGCAGTGTATTTCAGTAGACCCTCCTGTTCTACTCCCCACTCTGTCTCTGGTGAGTTCCCCACTCTGTCTCACTCCCCATACCTCTGGCCTACACCTCAGTTCTTACATACATAAATAAAATCTTTTTAAAAATATTGTGCTATTCTATCACCTCTTCTTCATTTACTAACCAAAATACTTCCTTAAATTATTTTTCTCTTCTTCAACTATTTGATTACTCTGTGAAGTATAGCTAACAAAAAGAAGGATATATATGCTTGAGTTTCTTCATTCTTTCCCTGTATTTTACCAGTCTTCAAAATTATCAGTTGAAAGAAGTATATAAAAATAAAGAGAAAAAGAAGGAAAAAAAACAAAAGAAGAAAAACTATCAGTGGGGTTCTCTAGCATTCTCCAGAGGCAACCAATGAGGGTTTTGTTTCACTGTGAAGTTATAGGTAAAATCACATATACTATATGTCTCAAGTCATTGTATCTATTGTTCTGCTGATAACAGAAAACTATCCTATCTGTTAAGTAGAGGAAGTGTCTTCAAGTTGGTCCTGAGTCTCTTTTGATAAGACCCTAGTAAATAGTCACTGATACCTTTTTCTCCTTTTGTTATGAAAAGATGTTCCAGGCTCGCCTTACACGTTTACTGTCCTGGAATAGAAATCAGCTAAAGGAGCCCTAATTTGTCTCCATGAAAATGGTATTTAGCGATCATAACTGGGGGGCAGAAGGACTCATTGCTACTGAGTGTGTGTTTCAGGGTGTTCAAATTGTTTAGGGAGGCCTGGTGCCACAGGTGGCTGAGCGCAGTGCTGTGAAGCTGTCCGCAGCCTTTGCAGTGCCGGTTCAATCCCTGCCGGCCTTGGAGCAACCCACATGGCGAGCAGACCTCTCCTGTCTTGCCTGCTGCTCCCCTCAGCAGTGTACTTCAGACAGTCTACCTGTTCTGTTCCCTACTCTGTCTCTGGTGAATCCTCTCACCCTCTTGTGCATCTGGCCTGTACCCTGGCTCTTGTATAAATAAAATAAAATCTTTAAAAAAAAATTGTTTAGATATACTAAATGCCCTTTTTTAAAAAAAAAAAAAAAAGATGAATCACATCAGGTGTTCATATTGATAATTACAATCCAAATTCAGGAAGGTACTTAACTTCATCTAAGCTGTTTCTTTTCTCTCATGCTGAAAATCCTAGATCTCAATTACACATTTAATTTTTTTTTTTAAGATTTATTTTTATTTATTTATACAAGCACTGGGTACAGTCAGAAGCGCAGGAGGGTGAGAGAATTCACCAGAGCGAGAGTGGGGAGCGGAGCAGGCAGAAGACCGAAGTACACTGCTGAGGGGAGCAGCGGGCAGCAGGAGAGGTCTGTGCGCCATGTGGGACCCTCCTCAGGTGGCCGGGGAGCAGCCGGGGATCGAACCAGCGCTGCAGAGGCTGTGGGCAGCTTCGCAACCCAGCACTCAACCGCTACGCCACCGGGGAGGCCCTACACATTTAATTTACTTTGTTCCACAATACATAAATAACTATTTCAAAATAACATCAACACCACCACTAACAATATGATAACTTTCTTTGATCCTTATGGTATGGCCCTCCTAGGGACATACATTTAAATTACTATATTTGAAAAGCACTGAAATAGTTCTCTGTGTAGTTATTTTACAAGTTCCATACAGTTAGGGTTTTTTTGTTATATTTTGCTTTTTAGAAATTGCTTTTTAATTCTGCCTTATATTTATATAAAATATTTACATGGTCCAAAATTCAAATCCATAAAATAAAGTGCATTCAGAAAACTTAGCTTCCATTCTATCCCTGCCCACTTCAGTCTACCCCTTCTTTCCTTACATGTAACTTTTAAAAATGATTTCTTTTACTCTTTAAAAAAATGAAGTTCACACACACATATACACATCATGTTTTTCTTCTCCCTAATTCTGAACCTATTTTTCTTTTGCTTCCCTAACAAGACATGCTAGATAATACTCCTTGACTATGTACAGAGGGCCCCTACACTTTTTACTACTAACTGGAGGTTTTGCTATTATAAAGTACCCTTTTTTGTCTCTTATAATGCTTTCTGATCTGAATTCTACCTTTTTCAGATCTTAGACTGAGGCGCCTGTTTTCTACTTGCCTTTTGTCTATGTATCTGTTAATCCTTCTATTTTTACAGAATCTCTCCATTTGGGTATGCATCCTATACATACCAAAGAAGTAGGTTTTTCTCAAATTGAGTTAACCTGGATTATTTTTTACATTTACTAGAAAAGTAAGCCCATTAACATTTACTGATATTATCAATATGTATGGCCTCACTTCTGTCATATTATTAAATTAAAAAGCAATGTTATTAAAAATTACATATGTATTAAATAATGAATATGTATTGAACAATGTATTTAATAATTGCTAAATGATATATGTGTATGTACACAGTCTTACCCTATGTGATCTACTTTATTTGCATGCACACCTTTTCATTTTAAAATGAAAAGGTATTTCTTTGGTATTTATAAAAGTTTGTGTTTTTGTTCTACTAGTTATCATTATACAAAACTTTTAAGTCCTCTATTTTGGGACTATTTTCTATTTCATTTTTCTATTAAACAATACTAAAGTTAGTTATAACCTCTTTTTTCTCCTCTCCAGCATTTTATTTCAGAAAATATCCCTTTAACAGTAAACACTTAAAAGACAATTAGTTAAATTACTTGGCAATAAAGCTGTTTAAAGAAAGGCAATAGTGGGCCTCCCCTGGTGGCGCAGCAGCTAAGCGCTGGGCTGCGAGGCTGCGTAGCGCCAGTTCGTTCCCTGGCCACAAGCGAGGGTCCCACACACACAAAAAAAAGGGCAATAGCGAGTTTCTATCACAATATTCCACCATTGTCCCATATTTTCGGTAATCATGCTGTATTTACATTGTCAGCGCAAGTAGCCATTATACACTATATTGTCTCCCTTATTACCATCATTTAGTTCTAAGTTCTACAGCTATATCTACTTATATTTAATGTTTTACTAACAGTTCTTATGCAAAATTTCTTCATTAGTTTTTTTTTTTTTTTTTTTTTAAGATTTATTTATTTATTTATACAAGCACTGGGTACAGTCAGAAGCGCGGGAGGGTGAGAGAATTCACCAGAGCCAGAGCGGGGAGCAGAGCAGGCAGAAGGACCGAAGTACACTGCTGAGGGGAGCAGCGGGCGGCAGGAGAGGTCTGCGCGCCATGTGGGACCCTCCTCCGGTGGCCGGGGAGCAGCCGGGGATCGAATCGGCGCTGCAGAGGCTGCGGACAGCTACACAACCCAGCGCTCAACCGCTGCGCCACCGGGGAGGCCCTTCATTAGTTTTCTGAAGCTCATTCTCTAACAGATCTCTTAGGAAGGGCTCATGGGAACAATATTCCTTGAATGCTTAATTTTGCATGAAAGTTTGTAAATGGCTTCTATACATGAAGACATATAATCTTGACTAAACCTTAAATATCTGGCTTAGGGCCTCCATGGTGGCGCAGCGGTTGAGCACTGGGTTGCGAAGCTGCCCGCAGCCTCTGCAGCACCAGTTCGATTCCCGGCTGCTCCCCGGCCACTGGAGGAGGGTCCCACATGGCGCACAGACCTCTCCTGCTGCCTGCTGCTCCTCTCAGCAGTGTACTTTGTCAGTCTGCCTGCTCTGCTCTCCCCTCTGGCTTTGGTGAATTATCTCACCCTCCCGCGCTTCTGACTGTACCCAGTGCTTGTATAAATAAATAAATAAATAAATAAATCTTAAAAAAAAATCTGGCTTGGGCCTCCCCGGTGGCGCAGCGGTTGAGCGCTGGGTTGCGAACCTGCCCGCGGCCTCTGCGGCGCCGGTTCGATCCCCGGCTGCTCCCCGGCCACTGGAGGAGGGTCCCGCATGGCGCGCAGACCTCTCCTGCCGCCCGCTGCTCCCCTCAGCAGTGTACTTCGGTCCTTCTGCCTGCTCTGCTCCCCGCTCTGGCTCTGGTGAATTCTCTCACCCTCCCGCGCTTCTGACTGTACCCAGTGCATGTATAAACAAAAACAAAACAGATAAATAAATAAATAAACATGCCTCTATAAAAAAAAAAAAAAAAAAAATCTGGCTTATATTTTCTTTCATTGAATTTCTGAAATGTTACCTTACTGTCTTTTGCATAAAGCATATTGTCAATTTGTCTGATTATAATCTTGTTTCCTTTCTTTACAAGAACTTAGTCTCTCTGCCTAAATAACCAAGGGATTATCTTTTGCTTTAAAGTTTAATCATTTCCTTAGAACAAATCATGATATAACTGTGACTTCATTTTCCCATGTACACAGTGAACCCTTTCAATATGTAATTCGAGTCCTGTTTTATTTCATCAGTTTTATTGAATTATCGTTTATAGTATTTTATTTGATTTTCTTCTTCAGAGATTTTTATTTTATGAATATTAAATCATTTTTATGAATCTATGTATCTTCTCCCAAGTCCATTTTATTTCTTTTTTGATTTTAAATTTTTATCTTTTTCATTTTATATTTTTCTCCACGTGTTACACAGGATGATTTGTTCCTGTGTTCATTTTAACTTAGTTTTCATTTCTAATATTTTTAAATTTCCAGTTCTTGCCTAATTTCTTTTTTTCTGCTTTTTTGTTATAGCATTTTTTTTGTTTTTCTTGATTTTAAAAATTTTTTAATTGCATTTTTTGAGGTACTGTTAGTTTACAACATTGTATATAACTTAGAAATATAGATGCACAACTCTGCAGACTTATGTTACCATACCACACTCACCACCAAAGCACTCCATAATCCTCTCTCCCTCTTTTACTCCTCCCATCTCCCCCACCCCTTAGTCTCAATTCTACAATCCGATTTCTAGTCTCACAGTCTTACAGGATAAAATACACAACTGATGCTGCCTGTGAGGTTTTATAAGCACAGAAAATAATTTTAGAAGACATGCGCACTATTCACTATAAATAATCCACTCAAAATGCTAAGCCCACCAAGTCTGGGAAAAGCCAAAACTTCCCCACAATAATTTATCATGTCTTGATAGCAAGTATCTTATTACCTTCTGGGGCTTCAAGGGTCTTCTGATTCTGCTCACACCACCCAATGGGGTAGAGGTCAGCCTTCCTGATGTCACACCAGAAGTCCGCTGTTCGGTCCTCTCCATAGCCATCATAGCGGAGGAGCAGCAATTGCTCACAGGTGGTAATGATGGTGGCAACCCAGTAGGTTTCAGGATCCGTTTTCACAACCACCTCCAGTTTCATCCCAGGAGCAAAGCCATTTTGCAAACGTGTGTCCACCTGAACAGGGAATTTATAAACCATTAGTCAAGTAACTTGAATGCGTATTTCTTTGGCCAATATTATTTTTTCTTTACTTACAATGGTTCAGAGCATTAAAATGCAAGAAAATCTCCTCAAGAGAAACCTGAGAAATTCCCATTCTAACTCACAAGAACAATCCAAACAAAAGAGGGAACAGCAAAGCTGCTCTGTTCCATTTGACTACAATGGAATTTTAAGAAACTCAGTATTTTCACCTAAGCAGTCTATTATGATTACAGAAAATGTTATCTGCTAAGTACATCAATCCCTAAGTGTTCACCATTTTAACAGTCTTCATTCAACACATAAAATTTTCAAGAGTGATTTCTAGATCATTCAAAAGAAAATTTAGGAAGTCAATAAAAGGACAAAAGTAAGATAAAATGATAATAAATAGTATAGTATGCACCACATGTACATATTATAAGTGTCTATATTATGTGTTAATATGTTATAGATTATATATTATTACATATTATTCCAGTTTTTCTGAAATAGCTTATGTTTAAACCTATTAACCTTGAGTAAATTAATAATACCCATTTTCTCTCTCAAAAGTACTCTAATTTAGATGATAAATTTCATGGCTGCAAAGGTATAAGCTAGCAATTCTGGAACTATTTATTGTGTGTGTACACCAAGATTATAAATAAATAAATAAATAAATAAATAAATAAATAAATAAATAAATAAATGGTGGATGACTCAGAATCATGTTTCTACTGTGGAAGAAATAAGTAAAAATAAGACTAGAGGAAGTCTAGAATAAACCTTGTGGTAATGAACTGGAATTGAAGGTATCAGCATGAGGTCATGATTACAGACAGAGACAAGAATGATAGACACCGAGATACAGGGAAAAAAGTATAGATATACATGTTTTAGGTGTTAATATACACATATTTCCTAGCTCTGTGAAATAACAGCCTCTAGAAGTAATGATACTCAGTAGCAATAAGCCAATTCAGTATCTAAATCTTCGGTAATTTAAAAAAAAAAAAAAAAAAGAACAAGTACTCCATAGAGAAATGATTGATCTGAATTCTGAGGCAGGTAAAATACATGAAAAGCCTGGGGTATCTTGTGATGCCAGGAAGAAAATGCCCCAAAAATGATGGGGGCATTTTGGAAGGACACAGAAGTCAACACTGCGGATGATCCAATGGTCCCATGTGGGACAAGCTGACCAACAAAACAAATAATGAGTAATGGATTATAACCCTAAGATTTAAATAAGTAGCCATGGGTTCACACTGCTAGAATTAAAAGAGAAGGGGAATAGGGCCTCCCCGGTGGCGCAGCGGTTGAGCACTGGGTTGCGAAGCTGCCCGCGGCCTCTGCGGCGCCGGTTCGATCCCTGGCTGCTCCCCGGCCACCGGCGGAGGGTCCCACATGGCACGCAGACCTCTCCTGCCGCCCACTGCTCCCCTCAGCAGTGTACTTCGGTCCTTCTGCCTGCTCTGCTCCCCGCTCTGGTGAATTCTCTCACCCTCCCGCGCTTCTGACTGTACCCAGTGCTTGTATAAATAAATAAATAAATATTTTTTAAAAAAGGAAAAAGAGTAGACAATCACCATTATACAAACACCACAGAAGTAAATATTGCAAGCAAAAATCATGGGACTATGCTAAAAATGACTTTAATGACTATGATACATAATCTCAAAGGGTCTCCTTCTAAGACTCCTATTAATTGCAAAGGGTAATATAATGAAGAAACCTGGCAGATACCACCTTAATTAAATTATGATCAATGTTAATACCACTGTTTCTAAAACATCAATATCATATAATCTTGATATCAATCAAAAAAAGCACATCATTTCTATGACATTCTTCCCAAGTATGCATAAACTCAAATTAATCAAGAGAAAAAACATACCCAAATTGAGGAATATTCTAAAAAATTGTGATATCTATGCAATATGCCCTTCAAAAGTGTCAAGGTCATGAAAAACAAAGAATGAGGAACAGTCCTACAACTGGAAGGTCATGGAAACATGTCAACTAAATGCAATGTGGCCATCACAAATAGTGAGAGGAATCCTGCAAAGGAGTCAGAGGGAAAATTCCACATTTTGTGTAAAACTCTTCCTCCTTATCACTACCCTGTTAGACTTCTGAAAAGTAATCACTATGCTGAATTACAACATTATGGTTAAATAGTGCCTTTTTAATACTAAGTCAGACAATAATGCAGTACAAATGTTTTTCTATGTGGGGCACTTCTTGCCCAACATTGCTTCTGAATTTGTTTATGTTATATGTAAGCTTCTTTCCACTGCTTTACAGTATTCCAATATACAAATATGCCATTATTTATCCATTCTAATGTTTCAAGTAGTAGGTGTTTTGGGTAGTCCACAACTAAAAAGTTTATTTTTTAAAGATTAATTTCATTTATTTATTTATGCATATAAGAACCAGAGTATAGGCCAGAGGTATGGGGTGGGGGCGGGGCGGGAAGGGTTGCGGTGAGCGGATTCACCAGAGACAGAGTAGGGAGCAGAACAGGCAGATCTACTGAAATACACTACTAAAGGCAACAGCTGGAGAGACAGGAGAGGTCTGCTGCGCCATGTGGGTCAGCTCCCTGGCCGGGGATCGAACTCATGTTGCAGTGTTTGGTGGTTGCTTGATAATGCTGAGACGTAATCCCTTGCACCACCAGCGAGGATCCCCACAACTAAAAAGTTTAAAACAGAAGTATGATGATATACTGAACACACTATGCTAAATGAACACACCAGACATAAAAGGACAATAACTGTATGATTCCAATTATGTAAAATAGGTAGATTCGTAGAAAAAGAAAGTATACAAAGGTGACTATGGGAATCTCACCCAGGAGGAGCTAGTTGGGAATTATTTTTCAATGGCTACAGGAATATTCTACTTTCTGATACAGGGGGGAGCCTGTATTAAATTCTTTCTGCCCTATGAACTTCCTTTAGGCACGGTTTCCCATCAGTTGCTGACCTTGTACCACAATCATGGTCAAGGTTATAGAGTTGCCCAGCTTGCACATCAACACAAGCATGCTAGCTCAGTTCATCAACTGGCTGGTCTGCTTCATCAGAAGGCTGGGAAAGAGTCATTCCATTGGAAAAAGGTTTATTCTTTCAAATGGAGATGGAAAACATGGAATCACTCAATTGATGGAGTCCCTTGATGAAGAAATCTCTGGAAGAATTGGAAAAGTAATGGCCAAGGTAACCGTTATGTGTGCAACTTATGTTTTAAAAGGTAACATAACCATCCTTTTGATCTTCGACTTTCCAATGAAACTGTGAAAATTACCCATGAGTTCCCTCAGTTTTTTCCTATGGGGGTTGTACAACATGACTGATCTTGATGAAATTTTTATGAATGCAAATGAGCAACATTGTAACTATTAAAGGAGAGTCCTATGATCTTCGTATGGAGAGATTCCTGTGACTTTTTAATATTTAATTTGTTCTCTTTAATTTCATTTACCTAACTTTATTAGACATACTGATATGTCATTTTTGATGGAATTGGTATATTGACAGTTTTTACCTAAGTTCTTATAAAAAGAAGAAATTTTCACATCACCAGTATATATAGTCAAATCAGCTGCAAGAACAAGTATTTGCTTCAGTTTAGTCTTTTTATTAATAAGTTACAATAGTTAAAAAAGAACCTTTCTTAGTATTTTCATAACATTACCTATTTAATTATATTAATATTTTTGTATTGCTTTCAATTTTTGTCTCTTAAATAAGTCTATATTTCTCCTTCATTTTGGGAAGAAATTTCTACTGGGTTTACAAATATTTACAAATATTTCCTATACCTGACAATGAAGAAGTAGGTATTTATCTTCATTCTCCTTATTGCTTTATCATCCAAAGAGGAAAAGATGGCATGTTTCTTTAAAACACGATTCTTTGGATCAAATTTCAGTAAAGGGATTTGTTTTCCTTTTGCATCTTAGTATAAATAAATATACTTCTATAAATACATACCAGAATAATAACATTACAAATCAGAATTCAAAGATATTAAATAACCACTAGCAGATTTTCCAGTTTAAAAAAACCTGAAAAAAGTTAAAGATTAACAAATGCAATATAAAATGATATCCTTGTCTAGTATGTACAATTTCCACCACTTCAACTTGAGACATGACTAAGAAAAAAGCAAAAAGGACAACCATGATGACTGAGTTTTTACATATGAATAAACTAAAAACAGCAGGACAGTTTGGCTTTTAAAGACCTAAGGGAATATGGTCCAACTCCATAAATCATAAACAATACTAAGTAACAACTAGTCTCTTGAAAATCCCAGAATAAGGGAACTATGGCCTGCTACACATTGCTATGGACTGAAGTGAGTTCCCTCCAAATTCATATGTTCAAACCCTAACTTTTGTATTTGAAAACAGGGACTTATGGAGGGTAATTATGGTTACGAGGGCATATGGGTGAGCCCAGATCCAAAGGGGTTGAGTGCTCTTATAGAAGAGACCCCAGAGAGTTTGTTCTCTCTCACTCCTCCTCCCTGTGAGGACACAAGAAGGTGGTTAGCTGTCTTTTAATACCAGAAAAAGAGCCCTCAGTGGAATTCAACCGACGGTAACCTGGTTCTCAGACTCCCAATCTCCGGAACTGTGAGAAAATAAACTTGTGTTGTTTAAATTGCCTAGTCTACAGTATTTTGCTATGTTTGCTCAAGATGACTTAGACAAATACGAAAAAAAAAGCAGTTTTAGGATCAAATTGTGTGTGTTTTATGAGTGCAGGATTTAGGAACAGGTGGAAAATTAGGCCTAAATATAAATTATTAATAAAATTTGCAGTACTTTCTTCCATTCCAAAGATAATTCACATAAAACACTGTTAAACACAAGGAAATACACCATTTTCTTCAATTAATGAGTTTTTTTTTTTTTTGACAAAAATAAATATTGATGACCAGTCAAAAACACAAGTCCTACACTGAGGGTCAGAAAATATACAAAACAAAAAATATTAGAATATATCAAATTTTCTTAATGGGGGTGGCAAAGAGAGGGAAAAAGCACTATAATTCTTCCAGGTGCCCAAACTTAAAATAACACTAAAGTCTCTAATAATGGTATAGTGAGTCAAAGGAAAGAGTTTGTCAGTAAAGCAAATAGTTTCTGCTTACATGTTTAAAAGATCCATAGGGAACAGCTGTGGACCCTGTCTCTTCTAGATAATCTTCCCAGCTTAATTCCACTTCTTCCACACCAGATCCAGCATCTGGATTTAAAAACAAAATAAAACAGAAACAAGTGAGTTCCAATTAAAGAAAATTCAAAGTACAAAATCAAAAGCTTAGGAAACCTAACTTACAATTTAGTTCTAAACAAAATCATTTATTTATACACAAAATAATTGTTTTTTAAATGGTAGGTTCCCTTTGTGCAGTGACTGCCAATGAACCTCAATAGCATATCAGTGTGACAGACTTTCCTTTTGGGATCTATCTGGGGTTCACTCCAAATGGATCAGATAACCTGGTAAGAATAACTACCACAATTACTTTGAAGTGTAATTTATTATCTAATATATGAAATATCTGAGATTGTGAACATGCACTTCAAACTTAAATTTTCTTTATTTTTTTTTAAAGATTTATTTATTTATTTATACAAGCACTGGGTACAGTCAGAAGCGCGGGAGGGTGAGAGAATTCACCAGAGCCAGAGCAGGGAGCAGAACAGGCAGAAGGACCAAAGTACACTGCTGAGGGGAGCAGGGGGCGGCAGGAGAGGTCTGCAGGCCATGTGGGACCCTTGCCCGTGGCCGGGGATTGAACCAGATCTGCAGAGGCTGCAAGCAGCTTCGCAACCCAGCGCTCAACCACTGCACCACCAGGGAGGCCCCAAACTTAAATTTTCAATCTGATTCTTAGTACTCTCCAACTGAATAAAAGATACCACTAGTGAATAGTTTAGCTCAATCAAAAAATGTGCAGTTATTCTTGCTTTCCTCCTTTTCCTTCACATCTTATATCTAATCTTCAGAAATTTGTGCAGATACTACCTTTAAGACATTCCTTAAATCTAATCACTTCCCATAATATATTGTTATTCCTCTACCCAAAGGTCTAACCACAATACCTTTCACCATTTAATCATATTCATAATAAAATCTGAAGTCTTTGGAAGACTGTAAAGGTAACATGATCCAACACCTAGCTACCTATCTTGTCACTTCATGCCCAACCAGCCTCTGTTCACAACACACAGTGACACTGAGTTTCTTGCCAGTTTTCTTTAATCATGTTCTTTCCTCAATGGCTCTGCATTTACTATGTCCTCAGCTCAAAGACTCATTCCTCAGTATCATTCACAGCTTCACTTCACTCAAGTTTCAACTACAGGAAGGCTGTCCATTCGGACCCATCTAAAGTAGAAACCTCCAGGTTTTGTTTTTATCTTCATGGAATTTACACCTACTTGATAGTATACCTAAGCCTTTTTATCTGCCCCATTTCATAATAACCTCCATGAAAATAGGAACTTTACTTTAGTCACACCTATATCGCTGTTGTAGAAGATACTGAATAAGTATTTATTAAGTGAGAAAATATTCAAACACCCCATAAAATAATAATCCCACTTCACATAAATTCCTGAAGAAAAAGGGTTTTTTCACCAATGTAGTCTCTCTCACTGCCCAAAACAATGCCTGGCATCGGCAAGATCACAACAGTCACTGAATGAGTACTTTAGGAGAGCCCTGGCATTACACAAACAGAAGGCAGCAAGTGCAAGTATGCTTACCATGTAGTCTGTAATACCAAAAGACAGAAGCAACTGGTAGGAGAAGAGATAAATTATGGCAATGTAACAATGTAGTACTGCCAGGTATCAGTTGAAATGAATGAACTAGTATTGCTATAGCTAAATCTTTAAACACACACACACACATACAGAGCAAGCAAAGATGGTAGGTGCAGAATGAAAGCACAGCAAGGTACAATTTAGGTTTCAAAACAAAGCTATAATGTTTATTAGTAGTATAATGTTTATAAATACACACATAATAATATGAGTACAAAAAACAAGAATGGGAAAAATACCCTTCAACTTCAACAGTGCTACTTTTGGGGGTGGAGAGAAGAAAACAGAATTAGAAGTACCAAAGATGCTTAAAATGTATTATGCCTTACTTTTCTTTCTAAATGAGCATATAACACATGAAAACATGTTCAACATCATTAGAGAAATGTGAATCAAAACCACAATGAGCTATCTATCACCTCACATCCATGAAGATGATTATTATCAAAAAAGCACAAAATAAGTGTTGGTAAAGAAATTGGCATATGGTACACTGTTAGTCTAAGAATGTAAAATGGACGAGTATACAATGGTTCCTCAAAAAATTAAAAATAATTACTGTATGACTCAGAAATTCCACTTCTGAGCATAAATCCAGAAGAAGTGAAAGCAGTGATTCAAATGTACAGATATTTGTACATAAATGTTCATAACATCATTAGTCACAATAACCGAAAGGTACAACAACAGATGAAGGGGTAAACAAAATGTGGTATATATATATATACTAAGAAACATTATTCAGTTTTAAAAAGGAAATTGATACATGCTACAACATGAGTATATTACACTAAGTGAAATAAGTCAGTTACGAAAGGTCAAACACTGTATGGTTCCGCTCGTATGAGGTAGTCAAACTCACAGACACAAAAAAATGGTGGTGATGGGAGCTGAAGAGAGGGGAGTTAGTTTAATGGGCACAGAGTTTCATGTTGGGAAGATGAAAAAAGCTCTGTAGATGGACTGTGGTGATGGCTGGACAACAATGTGAATGTATTTATTAATGTCACTTAACTGTATTTTCAAAAATGGCAAATTGTGCTGTAGATGCTTTACATATAAAAAATGGAAAAATTCCTATGGAAATAAAATTTGCCGTATTTTCTTACTGCAATATTTGAGGCAATTTTTTTCTTGAGGCAATATTTATTAAATCTTCAAGTATGTTTATGGGTGGTTGTTATACTGTTTCATTTGCTTTTATGCATTTGAAATTTCTTTAGATATACAAGCCAACAAAAACTGCATTGCGAGCATTCTAGAAGTGTATACAGGCCAAGGAAGGTTGATTTCCATAACTAAAACATGACAGGGCTGGCATTAAAAAAAAAAAAAAAAGATGATCAAAATCTCTTATACATTAAAACTACTCAACTGAGAACAAGACTAATCATCTAATTTAAAAAAATAAGCAAAATACATGAAAAGTTTATCAAAAAGAAATGCAAACAGTCCTTAAACATATGAAAAGATGTGCAAATTTACTCATTTTAAGAGAAATGCAAATTAAAACTATACTTGAATATCAGAAGAGAAATTCCAAAGTTTGACAACATGGTCTATGGTGAAACTAAAGCATAGTGACACAATCCTGGTCAAGAGAAATTGGCAGTATCACGTGTATATTTTATCTTTTGATTCAGCAATCCTACTTCTAGAAATCTATCTCAAAGATAAAATGACAAAATACAAAAAGACATACATACAAAGCTACTCACTGAAGCATAATTTGTAATACCAAGTCTGTAAAGATCCAAAAGTCCACTGGTAATAAACTGCTGAATAAAATATTATATACACATCTAATACTATATAGCTATAAAAAGGAATGAGAAGGACTTTTATATATTCATGTGGAATAGCCTCAAGCATAAAGTGAAAAAGCAAGCTAAAGAGCATTTTTTACTATATCTCTACTTTTTGTGTAAGATGAGTGAGATTAATGTAAATATTTGTATATACTCACACATATGAACAATGAAGTAAGTTAAAAAATAGTAAAACTTTATGTATATGGAGGAGAAAAAGGGTGAATAGTATTAAGTTGAAACTGGGAACACTGTTATGTAATTTTGACTTTATATATGCACAGATACTTTATACAATTTAGAAACATTTACTAAATTGAAAGAAAAAGCTCTAAAAATTGTAGTGCCTCAGACTACACCTCTTCTATCCAAGTGATAGACACATTCAATAATGTTTAAAATAAATCCACTTCCTAAATGGCAGGGTATCATTTCAGTGAATCTACTCTCCTAGAAAAAGGGCAAAATACTTTTTCAGTGGCCATCGTGAGTATCTCTAGTCCAGGTTCTCTGCACTGCACACACTCAAGTCTTCAAAGAGTTTCCAGTCTAGTGGTAGAAGGACAAGTCAGCCAATGCAACACAGTAAGTAATGTAATTCCACACTCTGAAGAATAAATTCTGCTCAGCAAAACCAATACCTGCATCGAGCTGCTGTTCCCCGTTCATTTCCACAGCACACTGGCTATCACACCTCCACACGAAGGACAGGACTTAGCGTTCTTGTGCTATGATCAGAAGATCACTTGCAGGTCTCAAGCATCTGTTCAATGGGCATTTAACTGTCCAGATGAAAAGTGCTAAAAAAACAAAAAGAATACATTAATAGTCTGAAAGCCAAGTGTGTTTACTCACTCATAAGACATGGTACTCAAATAGGTTAAGGGGACAAATATAAAACATACAGGCAGAATCTATGGGATTAGGAAAAAAACAATGACACCTTATCTAATTTTGAAGGCTGTGCATGTGTGTATTTGTGTGTAGTGTATGCTAATGAGATCTTGAGATCCAAAAATCACAACAAATTAACAAGTATATGAAACACAACCTTTAAACTTAGATTATAATAATTAAGCACCATGATTCCTAGCCACAAAAACTTGTATTCCTTGATTTTCTGTGGGGGAACTGAGGTTGGGAGGATCAGAATTAGCATTCAATCTGCTGTCTTACACAATGAATAAGATTCAGGACAGGGCCTCCCCAGTGGTACAGTGGGTTGAGCATAGCATTGTGAGGCCGTCTGCAGCCTCTGCAGCATGGGTTCAATTCCCGACCAGCCAGGGAGATTCCCACCATGGTACAGCAGACCTCTCCTGTCTCACCCACTGTTCCCCTCAGCAGTGCTTTCGGTCTGTCTGCCTATTCTGCTCCCTGCTCTGTCTCTGGTGAATCCTTTCATCCTCCCACGCCTCTGCCTGTACCCCAGCTATTGTATAAAAAATAAATCTTTTAAAAAAAAAGATTCAGGACATATTAATTTATTTAGTTTTCCATTCTATTTACCTAGAATGGATTATTATGCAGAACCAAAAGTTTCCATTATATTATTCTACAATTACACTAATTAAGAGAATCCCTCTAAAATAAGCTGACTCCACTTTTTAACAACTTCAATAGGGTTCATTTCAAATACCAAAATTTCCCATTTTAAGTATACAATTCAATAATTTTTAGAAAATTTACAGCTGTACAAACATCACCATAATCCAATTTTTCTTTGAGTAAAATATCTAGTCAATCTACATTTAAAAATCAGAGTTAATATTTAGAAAATGTACTCAATCTAATTAGTGAGGAAAGTAAGAATTTTTAAACACATACTATTTTTTCCACCTTTCAAATTGGAAAGAATTTTGAAACTAAAATGTCTGGCATTGGCAAAGAACATGGAAGAACGTGAGAACTTATGACCACAAATCGGCATCATTTTTTTTGGAGATGAACCTGATGACATTTTAACCTATAAAGATTTAAAAGATACAAACTCTCCAGCAACAATTTTACCATTAAAAATTTTTCATACAAAATATGGGTAGAAAGCTGTATAATTAATGTTCATCACAGTATTATTAATAGCAGAGCAAAATCAAAGACAACCTATACATCCACCAAATGAAAAGATGACTACATACGGCAAGATACACCACACTAGGAAATACCCTGTAATCATTAGAAGAATTTGGGTAAATTTATAAAAGTAGCTGAGAATACTGTCTATAATGCTGTGTGGAGAAAAAAGTAAATAATATAAAGATGTTATCTACATTAACTTTTAAAAATCCTGTGTCCATTTTTTGCTTGACCACGTGACTTCTAAGAATTGACTAATTTGTGTCCATCGCCTCATTTTGATTTTTTTTTAAGATTTATTTATACAAGAACTGGGGTACAGGCCAGATGCACGGGAGGGTGAGAGGATTCACCAGAGACAGAGCGGGGAACAGAACAGGCAGACTGACGAAATACACTGCTGAGGGGAGCAGCAGGCAAGACAGGAGAGGTCTGCAGTGCCATGTGGGATTCTCGCCAGCCAGCAGGGATCTAACCGGCGCTACAGAGGCTGAGGGCAGCTTCGCAGCCCAACGCTCAACTCCTGCGCCACCAGGGGAGGCCCAATGAGCTAATTTTAAAATGTTTCTAAAAGAAAAATTGTACAACCCAACTAACATTTTTAGTAAAAGATGACAGATGAGGCAAGTTCCTTCTATCAAAATGTTAAAATGATGTGATATTAGTGCAAGAAAAGACAAATACATCAGTAATGTAGAATGAGGATGGGAAATAGATCCATTTACACAAGTATAGTTTATGATAAAACAGCACTTCATACCAACTGTAAAAGAAAAAAGTGAAATCCTTACTTCATGCTGCCATGTAAATTCCAGGTAAGTTAGAAGCATAAAACATGAAAACCAAGACTCCAAACAAATGAAAAAAACCTAAGACACTCAAGTTCCAACTCTGGGACAGCATGGACTTCCTGAAGGAAGGAAACCATAAAATGGATACATCTGACGACAAAAACATTAAAACTTCTGATTGACAAAAGTACTATAAACAACTTAAAAAGTCAAACTATACATAGATAGAAGAAAATATTTCCAGGATATACAAGAGACAAAGGATTAATAGCCATAATCCAGAATGAGACTATTAATCAATTAAGGGAAAAAAGACCAGAATAGAGGAAAGTGGTGGCAGAGTACAGGTGGAGGTTAGCCTCCTCCGTATGTTCACAACTAAATTACAACAGAAGAAAGGAAACAGCCCCTGAAAGATAACCAACTGAACCAGGGATTATTTATAAATTCATTAGCATGAATTTATGTGTGACTACTGCACAAATCAGGAGCAAAGGTACAGAGAAAAAAAGCCGGAAAGCTGCAATTAAACTGCTTGCAGCAATTAGGAGATAACACAACCCACAAGAGATGGGCAGCTGCTGTATGGAACCCCTCTGCTTTTGTTAACTTGGGAATATGGCCACGTCAACACTACCCTGGAGAAGGGGGTATAGAGTTGGCATGCTGGATCATGCTGAGAACTAGAGGAGTAGGGGTGCAGAGTGGTGATAACTAAATGTGGGGTGTGAGGTATAGCAGTATCTGGATGGACTTCCTTCCTTTCCAACCTCATACTACAATGAGGTCGGAAATTTCATGCCAATGAATTTATAAATAATCCCTGGTTCACAGTTGAAATTTATAAGCTATTTTCCTTTGTTATGCTTCATGTAAGCATAACAAAACTCTTTAAGCTAGTTACAACAGGTTCAATTCTTATTTTACATCTTGGGAACGTTCCCTTTTTGTCAACTTCAATCCCACTCCATTTCACCTTTTCTAGGTTTACTCATCATACATGAAGGCATCGATTTCTTCATAACAATTCAGTAATTTATGCTGTCTCATTGTTTACAACCCCAATTCCAATACCCACAAATTTTCCAGGAAAAGTACTTCAAGGTCAATTTTTAAGCCTTCTTTAGTATGTGTCTTTCAAAAATTTTAAGGCATAATTTTAAAAAACTAATTCATACTACAATGAGGTTGGAAATTTCATGTTAATGAATTTATAAATAATCCCTGGTTCAGTTGTAAGTATGGTCATTTCACAGCCCTGTTTCCTTAGCACTTACTAATTAGTACCCAAGTATTGAGCACCTACTCTATGCCAGAAACCAAGATTACTAAATCATAGTTCTGAAATAATCTTTCAATGAACCAAAATATGACAGCAGCATTTAAAAATAATTTCTTTATCCTTATATTATCTTTTAGAGTTCAAACACTGACGTATTTTTTATTGATTGCAGACTTTGTTTGTAGAAGCAAACAAGTACATGAGCCTGTGTTGAACCAGTCAATATGTCTTTGTTCTGATTAAATTGGGAGGTATTTGATTCACGAACATAAACACTGCCAATTTCCAAGGTATTATAAAAGCAACATTCTAAACTCAGTTATGAGTCTTGAAACCATTCTGTAATTTAATGGTTGATATTTCTCAGTTTTCTCATATCAGCAAACAGATTAGAAACTTCATTCCAATTAAAGAAGCACTAGTTAACCATTTATCAAAAAAAAAAGTAAATATTATTTGAGGACCTACTATGTATGTGCCTGACACCTATATTTGTGTCATACAGTACATAAAACAATGCCCAACAACACATTGTAAGTAAAATGTAAGTGATAACTATCTAAGTTATATCTTATTTAAACCTACCAGTCTACTTATCCTATATATATAGATATCATATATATGCATCCTGTATGTATATATCGGATAAATATGTATTCTCACCCTCTTAGACTTCCTCTGAAACACGTTTTAGTTTATCCATATTACAACAACAACAAAATAAAAACTGGCAATGAGTTTGATTTCACTTTACACATTTATGTGACCAGGTAAAATATCTCAAAAATAAGTTTATGCAATTAATTAGATTTTGATATCAAGAGCTCGATAAGCAGTCTTGATGGAATAAATAACTGTTCCTTCTGGGGCCTCCCCGGTGGACAGGGAGAATCCCACATGGCGCGGCAGACCTCTTCTGTCTCGTCCAGTGCTCCCCTCAGTGTCTTTGGTCCGTCTGCCTGTTCTGCTCCCCACTCTGTCTCTGGTGAATTCTCTCACCCTCCTGCACCTCTGACCTGTACCCCTGTTCTTGTATAAATAAATCTTTTTTAAAAATTAAAAATACAACTACCATATGATCCAGCAATTCCACTTCTATGCATATATCCAAAATGAAAAAAAAAATCAGTCTCAAAGACAATGACCGCCATTTTTATCCCAGAATTATTTACAATAATGGAAAAAATCTAAGTGTTCAGCGACAGATGAATGGATTTTTAAAAAGTGATACACCCACACATATACATAGATGCAATGATATATTATTCAGCCATAAAAAGAGGGGGGAAACAGCAATTTGTGACATGGGCGGCCTTTGGGGCATTAGGCTAAATAAGTCAAAGAAAGACAAATACCACAGAGAACCACCTGTATGTATAATCTTAAAAAAATGAATTTGCAAATATATAAAATAGACTGCCAGAGGCAAGGGGTAGAGAAAACAGGTGAAAGTAACCAAAAGGTACAAACTTCAAGTTATAAAGGTAAGTAAGTCCTAGGGCTATAATGTACTGCATGGTCAATGTAGTTAACAGTACTGTATTGTATTAAATATTTGAAAGTTGCTGAGAGTTAATCTCCAAAGTTCTCATGACATGAAAAAATATGTGTTAACTGTGTGATAATGGATGCTAACTTATTGTAGTCACTA